ATGTCAAGGATGGGGGTTTGGCTTTGAGGTTTGCCTAACGCCAGAGCGTGGGCGAGAGCTGTGAATCTGGGCCTGAATGGTGTTGCTGGGAGACGGCGCCACGGCCTGCTGACCTGCCTGCCTGCCTGCCTACTTGGCAGAGTAGTCTCTCGGTTCGTTCACGATTGCGGCTCTGGTGTGAAGCATATCAGGAATAACTTTACTTGACGGGAGGCTCAAGCAGTCGGGTAAGGTATTACACGCAGGCAACGCTTATGCAGGTACTGCTTCTACCAACCTAACGCGCACTTAAAATAACACACCCAACGCAGGACCATGGCAAGCTTATCGGGGACCCTCCAGTGTAAGGTTGTGCGCCAGAGGCATCGTTTCGGGCTGCTTCCTAGAGTTTGGCAAGGGCTGGCGTCGCACCTGCCAGTTCTGCCTGCGCTCTTTCCCGCAGAGCGCGGCGCAGAATCTTGCCCGACTGTTTTTGTTGGTGCTCAAGTCAGTCTGGTTTCGTCCCAAGCCTCTCTCCTCGCCATTGACAAACCACCACGGCAAGCACTCACCAGTAGTTTGGGGATGGCGTCGACAAAGACCACGCCCCCTTGCAGCCACTTGTACCGCGCAACCTTGCCCTCGACCCATCGGCGGACGTCGTCCTCGGAGACCGTGCTCCCCGGCGCCCTGACGACGTAAGCGCGCGGAAGCTCGCCCGTTGGCACCTTGACGCCGACGACGCCCGCGTCGACAATGTCGTCGTGCGTCAGCAGCAGCGCTTCCAGCTCAGCGGGTGCGACTTGCAAGCCCTTGACCTTGATGAGCTCCTTGGCCCGATCCACGATGCGGATATTGGCCCCGGGCTCGTAGCGGTCCAGCGTCACGATGTCGCCCGTCTTCATCCACCTCGTGCCGTCGCTGTCGACGTGCATCGTCTCGGCAGTTGCCTTTGGGTTGCGCCAGTAGCCCTTCATCAACCCAGGTCCCGTGAACCACAGCTCCCCGCGCTGACCTGCCTCAGTGACCTCTTCGCCCGTATCACTGTCGACGAGCTTGATTCGGCTGTTAGGGACGACCTCGCCAACCGAGCTGGCGTCGCCGTCGGTGCTGCCCGGGTCGGGCACTGATCCCATACACGTTAGTTCCGTCATGCCCCAGGCCTGTCGAACGCGCACGGCTCCCTCGCCGAAGAGACGCGAAGCCTCGTCAACCAGTCCCGGCGCCAGTGGTGCTGTGCCGCAGGTGATGCGCCGGATGCTGCTGAGGTCGTACTTATTCCGCAAGGGGCTCGACACAAGGGAGACGATGACGGGAGGAGCAACTGTCAGGTCGGTGATCTTGTGTTCCTGGATATTATGCAGCAGCCTCTCGAGTGAGTACGCCGACATCATGTACGTCAATACGCCAAGCTTGGGAGAGTTGATCAGGTAGCCCGTCTGTGCCGCCGCGTGGTACGTCGGCATAAAGCACAGCGCGCGCGATGCCAGGCCAACCTCTCCGCGAGCCTCCGCGCCGAGGGCTGTCACGTGGACCACCGTTTGGGCGTTCGCGATGTAAGAGCCGTGTGTGACTTCAACTCCCTTTGGCCGCCCCGTTGTGCCAGAGCTGTAGTTGAGACAGCACGTTGTCCCGTTGGGGTCTTTGGGCTCCCACCACTGAAAGGCGTCGGCGTCGCTGTCTGATGCGAGGAGGTTGGTCCAGTGAGGTAAGTCTTGGGGTTTTCTGTCGACAGATTCCCTCGCCGGTGTTAACAAGCCGTCGAAATGGAAGACCTGCGTTGTCGACAGGCCAGCCATCTTGGCGGCCTCGACGGCGTTGTCCAGCACGACCGTTGCCGCGACAAGGGCCTTTGCTCCGCTGTCCTTGAGTTGGTATGCGAGCTCGTTGGGGCCGAAAGCTGGACTGGCACCGGTGAAGATGGCACCGCTCATGATGACGCCGAAGAACAGACACGGAAAGTAGATGTCATTCCTGCTATACAGCAACACACGGTCTCCGGGTTGGACGCCGTGTCGCCGCAGGCCCACGGCAATCTTCTTGGCATAGTGGCGGAATTCTTGCAGAGTAAGGGACCTCGGCGTGTCGTCTGCGTCGACGTAGGCGAGGGCGTCTGAGATTGGGCCCGAAGGCGAACCGAAGAGATATGTCGGCAAGGAGACGTCGGGGATGGGAACCGACCACCGCGACTCGACGGGCATCGTGGCGAGTGACGACGCAACGGGGCGGAGAGACAGCTACGGGGATTTTCGTATATTCTACGACGCGGGCGCTGCAGTGTAACGCAAGTCGAGGCCTTGTCTGCTCGTTTTGCCAGGCCGACTACCTCGATCTACTGCAGGCTACTTATACCCCGCGAGCGTTGGCCATCAACCTCGGCTCGGCGGCGGCGGCGGCGTGGACTATCGATGCACGAACGATGGAGCTCCAGTTACATGACCGGGACAAGTCCAAGGCACATTCACGGACGAGTCGGGCTTTCTATCTACGAAGTTATGCCATCGTCTCGACGGAATCGTGCTTGCCGGCCCGGGATCGGGGTAACAGAACCCTGAGAGCAACGAATCATGGTCGCAATTCGACTCGATCAAACAATATCAACGGCGCTGGGCGCAGAACAAACGGCGGGTGCGGCCCTTATCCAGCTCGGCCCCCTCACCAAGTCCCCGCGGACCTCGACGACGACGAAATCCAAATCCGCCATGCCGAGGCGGATCGCCAAAAGCCCCCATCCAAATTGCGGGGGAAGCTGCGCCAACGGGTGCCTCATCGGCACCGACCACTCTGCCGGACTCCACCTCCCAGGTTCCAACCCACCACCATTCGCATCGATTTGTTACTGTACTCCGTATTGCTAGTCCGGTCTGCCCTGATGAGGGGTGGGTCGGGGGGTTATTAGCCGCCCGGGCCACCGCCGTCTTGCAACAACGTCCAGGCAGCCACTTGTAGGTTCTATTGAAAAAGGGGATGCCTCCCGAGACGCCCAGGCACCGAGGAAATCCAGGATCTCGCTCAGGGTGTCCGGGCGTCGAAGCAGAGATGCAGAGGTGGAGCCGTGAGAGTTATGCTGTCCCGGAGTCCCTGTATAAACTCCACGGCTCCCTGGTTCGGGGCCAGGCGCACGTCGTACCGCCTCACGATGCGACTCACCACAATCGCAAGCTCCATGAGCGCAAGTCCCTTGCCTGCGCAGCCATAGCGTCCTGCGTACCGCCACTGTTAGCCGTGTCCGTCTGTGGCTCCGTGCCAACGTCTGCGGATGCGTGTGTGCACAGACCTGACGAGAAGGGGGCAAATGCCGACGTCTCCTTCGCAGTATCGCTGACAAGCTCCGGCTGTGTCGTCCACCTGTCGGGCACAAATTCGTTGGGCCGTGCAAATAAGCGTTCATCTGCCGGTATATTGTTAGTACTAATATTAGTAGGCCACGGTCATGGCGAGAGGTAGGGTCATCCGGTGCCCCTTACCACGATATATGGTATATTGCGGGTTCTGCACCACCACATCGCCGGGGATGAAGACGCTGCCGAGCTGAAGGCCCTCAGGCGGCGTCTTTCTCTGGAGCCCGCTCGGAGACGGCGGCCACATGCGCAAGGTTTCGGTCATGCAAGCTTGCAGGTATTCCAGTCTCGACAGGGCCTGTGCGCTTGGCTCGGCTTCGCCGGCGGCTGCGTAGCACTCGTCGATCTCGTCCTGCAGAAGCTTGAGGGCTCGCGGCTGCCGCGCAAGCTCGAAAAAGAGACATGTCAAGGCTATTGCCGCCGTGTGACTGCATTTGAGAACATCAGTGCCATTCGATGTCCTGGTCCCGAAGAAACCGATGAGGCCAGACGCCAACTAACCTCCCGGCTACGACCACCAGCAGTGCGTCCCCATGGAGGTCCAGCGTCTCCTGCAGTGTTGGTTTCTCGGGCGCTTCGTAGTCGTCTAGAAGCCACGAAAACAAATCGACGCATTGTCTCTGTTACCCGCACCGTCAGCACTCCCTCGTCGAAACAGAGGCTCTGCCGTGAGACAGTCATTTACCTTTCTCCGGTCTTGCACCTGCTCCACAATCCATCCCTCGAACCGCTTGACGTTTTGGTTCACCACGGGCAGCATTTTGTAAAGCGGGAACAGCCACACGAGGTGACTGAACAGTCGAACCACGAGCATGAATTGGTAGGTTGCTGACATGAAATAGTGCGTCTCGCCCTCTCGAAGCATGCCAAGCTCCTGCCCGAATCCAACGTCCCCCATGACGTCGAAGCCGTAGAAGTTGAACCATTTGGTCACGTTCATGGGTTGGCCGCGGGACTCATCGATGCGCTTCAGAAGCTGCACCGCGTATTGTGTCACCCGGGGTTCGTAGTTGCGCAGGGCTGCCGGCTGTTAGTCTTTGCCGTCTGGACTCTCTCTGCAGAAGAACGGGCGCCCAAACCTGAGGTACCCATTCCCTTGTCCCAAGCCCTTCTCCTCTTTGCATGTGCAGTCCTGTCCCGGAGCGCATTGAGAGGCCGGGTCGGCCACAGGATATTGTACCACGGCCCCTTGTAGCAGCGCGACTGATTGGAGTGAATGAGATCGACTGCTCTTGGGTCGGATATCGAGAGCTCGCTTGGGCCTGCGTAATAAAACGTGAGCACTTTTGCTTGCCGCCGTGTGGTGGTCTGAAGCTTACCGAGTCGAACAATGTCCCCATATTGTCGATGAAGCGCCTGGACTTCCCTGTGCAGCTGGAACTTGGGCTCCTTCAGCGACAGGGCTGTAGGATAAATATTTGAGATGCGCGCCAAGAACGGGCCGGGAAACTTGTTGAGGCGATGGAACGCCAGACGATAGACCAGGATGCTGCTGAATATGCCGACAACACAGCAGCCAAGCACGGACGACACGAATTGGAAGGCCACCCAAAGTGACTCGTGGCCTACGGCAGTTCCGTATCGTACGGCGACTGTTGCACTTAGGTCGAGGAGCAGCGTGCCAGCAACGATGGTCAAGAAGTACATGTCCCATTCCCCGAACCGGAAGACGGTGACGTGGAGGAGCACCCCGGACAGGAAGGCGGTTGCGTACAGATCGGAGATGCTTTCGAACGCCATGGCGGAGCGCGACAGTGTCGGTATGATCATCTACTGGAAGGGCGTTTGACACATGGCTCGCCGGGCTGTCATGGCAAACCGCTTTTTTTAATGGTTTTTTTTTTTTGGGCACGAAGCACCAGCAATTTGTGTTTCTTTGCTTGGCACAAAACAGTCGTCAGCGGCGGATGAGCTGTCTCGGGGGCACATCTGCTGCACTACACGCCACAACTGGATGTGCCGTTGCCCGAAGCCCAATGAGGCAGAAGGAATTGGTATCACAGCGCCGTCGCGATAAGCGTCCGTGTCTCGCTCGCGGCGCACAACACAAAGAATTTCAAGGCGGGGAATCCAGTCTGTATGCTTTTCCGATGCGGGCGCGAGCCAAGAAGGAAGTCCGAGTGGACAAGGTGCATGTATGCCCGATGAAAGCGGACTGAGGCTATCTGAGTCATCGTCTTCGAGTTTTCTCAAAGACCAATTATCTGTGCAGCCAGGAGTATGTGCTAACGGCAACGAAGGTCGGCTGGTAGCAAAGTTGATTGTGGTCAGACGCTCTAAGAGGGGGGTTATACGTCGTTATCTGGTTAAGCTGAGTGATGGCTGTTTACGAGTTTGGGAATACATGCTACGTGGCTCCTACTTCTCTCCTGTCATCCTCGCAAGTGTTACAGGCCTGTGCGTCGCACGCCTTGCGCGGGGGTTCTGCTGGCGAATCTGAAACAACGTTCGTGGGTGGGTGGGCCTACGTAGTTGAACGATTGCAGTCGCTGGCTCAAACGCAATGATACGAGTTGTCGTCGCTGGGCCCCATGTACTGGACTGACCTGAAGCTCATATCCACAGACGACGACGGGCCACCCGTTGCGGTTGATTTTCTCCAGCCCGAGTCGTGGCGTGATTGAGTGGCTCCAAAGCCTGTCAAACGGGGTGTGACGAAGCGTTGCTGTGCCGCAACGTGGCGCGTCGGAAGTTGAGCGGCAAGGGACAGAGATTGTTTAAAACCTGTTCATGCTGTGTTAAGTGTTTCATTGCCCAGCTCCAGCGAGTTTCTTGGCTCAGGCCGAGTCGACCCATTTGGCCAGCTCCTGATTATTCGTCAGCTGACTCCAGGCACTAAAAGCATAGGTATAGCATGTCGAGCGTTTTCATAAATCACGACCCACTGCTGATATCGTGCTTTGTATTTGAATTAACAGTCTATGATTAAAGAAGTCTCAACATGTCCCAAGTTGTTGTGCTGTCCTGTATTGGGCACAACTTAATGAGCTAGCGTGTGAGTAGCCACAATTGATATACCTGTGACGGTCGAGCCCACTCCTATAAGAGCTGGGTAGATGAAAATTGTAGTTTTGGGGGTCAAAACATATACCAAGGTTTTCCATGCAAACGGCCTTGTTCCGGCTTTATGCGTCTGAAAAAACGGCGAACCTTACGCATCGCCATATTTCCTACCGTCAGCTTGCCATGGCCCCCCCGCCGAAACCACCCTTTCTAACAGTCCTTTTGTTCCTGCACCTTGACCACCGGTCCTTCGTACACGTGTCGCGCCTTGACAAAGTACACAATCGACGATAGGCCCATGAGCCCGACGAAGATGACGCACGCCCAGTTGAACGTCTCCGCCGTGACGTTGCGGCCGTTGGGCCAGAAGCTCCAGAAGAAGGACCAGCACGAGTAGACCATGGCGGCGATGTTGATGGGCAGCCCGTACCGTCCGAGGCTCCAGCGGCAGCGCGGCAGGGGCTCGCCTCGGAGGCGCTTGGCGGTCACGCAGCCGACCGACACGACGTAGGTCGCCATGAGAGCCACCGTGGACAGCGACAGCATGGCGTTGAAGGCCACCGTCGAGCCAATGTTGATGAGCGCAAACGCCATGGAGAATCCGCACGTGAAAATCACCGAGTTGACGGGGACGTGCCACGTAGGGTGGACCTGGTAAAGGAAGGGGGCATCGAGTCAGAGTTGCCAAGCGTACAGCAGAGGTGGGCATGAACGCGGGATTGAACTTACGGCTCCAAGCCAGTTGGAAAACGGGAGCCCGTTGTCGCGCGCAAAGGCAAAGGTCTGGCGCGACGTGGACGCCAGCGAACTAATGGTAATCATGGTGAGCAACACCAACACCACGACCGTGAGGCCCGTCGCGCCGCCAACCGTCCCCGTAGCGTTTTCGAAGACGTAGATGAACGGGAAGCCGGTCCGAGAAGCGAGCGCCTCGGTCACATCTCCGATACAAAAGAGGTACGTCAGGAGGAGCGCAAAAGTAAAAGGGACGTTCAGCAGGAACGACCAGACCATGGATCTGGGCACAACGATGCCCGCGTCCCTAATCTCTTCGGCCATGTGCGCCACAGAGTCGGAGCCTTTTCCACAGACAGCGTATCAGCCACCGCCGGGTCATGTTACTCTCTAGGCTTGAGACCGCATCAGCCACTCACCTAACACGACAAACATGCTCGAGACTTGCCCGACCATGACCGTCAGCGCTATCGACGGCCATCCGGCGCCGTTGTCCGTGAACTGCGTAAACACGGCGCTGGCCGACTGCTTGGGGGCGAGGACCAACAGCGTGATGATGACGGGGAAGAAAGAGAAGATGTATAGAGTCACGAATGTACCCTCGGCAAGCGGCAGGTGCTTGGCGGCGAAGACGTTGAAAAGGGAGACGCCGATGACCGAGGCAAAGACAAGCAGCGTGCCCTGCCACCGTGTCGGGGAGTACGACTCGTCGTTGAGCGTGATGAGTCCCTGAATAATGGATCCGATGAGGAAGGCGTCCAGCGCAACGATGCTCTGCCACGATACAGTCGAGAGCCAGCCTGAATAAGCCGGTCGGTCAGCTAAACTACAACACAGCAGATGAAAGGGGGTCAATAACGGTGCAGAGAGACGCGTACCCGACAGGTAACTCAGGATCTTCTGATACTCGCGCGGCGCAAATTCAGAAACCCAGTGGTACTGCCCGCCGGCGGTGGGCGCCATGGACGCCATCTCGGCGAGCGAGAGCACGATGAAGAACTGGCCGATGTGCGACCAAACAAGCGACCAGAAGAGGCCAGCCATGCCGCCCGCGATGAGGCCCTGCGTGTTGGATCTTTCTTCCGTGTCAGAGGATGCCGACCGTTAAGTTGGTGAAGAACGCACGTCAAGAGGATGATCCAAGTGCCCGTCACGCAAATCGTAAATCCGATCGTGGACAGCATCCGAAAGTTTCTCTTTCAAAAGCCCTCAACTGTCAGCCACCAATGCGTTCAGGCAAGGGTTAGCAGGCACTTGTCTCGACTCACCCGAAACTCCTGCTTCTTTCCCATGCGCTGCATGTCCCTCTTGTCGTTGGCCGTATGGCCCGAGTACAGCTCTTGGTCCGGGTCGCCATTGTTGGCTCCTTCGAAGACAGAGGCGCTTTTGCTCTGCCCAGACTCGACTTCGGCCGTGGAATGGAGCAGCTGCTTCCCGCCCACACTGCGCAGCTCGAGGCCGTCCTGGTCCCTGTGTGTCTCCATTTGTAATTGAAATAAGAAGGAATGACGGCTGACAGGAGCAACCAAAAAGTTACACAAGCGAGGTCCGGAGACACGGCAGGATGGTAATGAAAACGCCGAAGACGAAAGGAGGATCTGCTCGGCAACAACTCCTTGTCTGGCGATTTTTGGCCCTCTCTGTCAATAACAGACGAAGGAGAGGGGAGAACAAGGTAGCATTGAGGAAGTTTCCCCGATCCCAACGAACACTGGCAGAATAAGAGCTAAAGAGGAGCGGCACGCAGGACAGGGGTCGAGGCATGGTTCCGCATGCAGGGCTCCAGTGAGGATGCAACGCTAACACAAAGGACGTTATGCTTTTCAGAGTAACCAGGTTGCTGTACCGAGAAACTCGACATGTTGGGTCCGCAGGATTCCCACAATGGAACTACTCATATCGCGGCCGGGGTCGCCATTGGGTCAGTGGTTTCGACTCGACTCTGCGTCGCGGATGTCGGTCGCTCCATGCGCGGATGCAACATGATGAGAATGGGGGGCGATCTTCCCACGTCAGGGTCCCCGGGGCTTGCCTCGTCCGTCCGTCCCATCCCACCTCCTCGCCGAACAAATTTCTACCACCGACTTCCCGCCCGTCTCTCGGGCGATAAAGATGACGCCGCGGTATACTTCTCTGTCCGTGCAATATGCTCATGCGCAGCGGCCATGTCTTCGTCTTCGACGTTCCACTATATGGGCGTCACGCCTCGTGACCACGGAGCCTACATCGTCATCACGGCAGTCGTAGGGGTGACATGGACGGTGCTGGTCTATTGCATCCGGCTCTACATTAGACTCAACTTCAACGGCCCCTTTGGTTTTGACGATGCCTCGGCGTCCTTTGCCACTGTGAGTGCAAGAGACCGCCGCTTTGGTTTACGGATATCTAATTTAATGCGTGGCACTTATAGGTCGTTGGCATTGTGCAGTCTGCGGTGACGCTGATCGCGGTTCGCAATGGACTTGGGAAAGCGGAAGATTTGCTGTCCCCCGACGAGCTCGAAGCAGCCATGAAGGTATGGCATCTACATCGACGACTCGATACCAAAGAACGAGACTGAAAGATGGTTGGCAGCTCAACTACGCGGCGAGCCTGCTATACATTGTGGCCATTTGCGGGTCCAAGTGCGCCATGTTCCTCTTGATGGCTCGGTTGACACGGCAGTCTCAGAACATGTCACTGAACGTGAGTTACGGAGCCACGATCTTCACTGCGGTGTGGATGGTGGTGTCTCTGTTCGTCATCGGTTTTCAGTGTGGCCTGCCGGATCCATGGAACATGATTCTCCATGATGGTTGCAGAGGCACGGTAGGAGCCCTCTCTACCCCTTAGTTCGTGTCTGCGTGTCTGACACATGACAGTTTACGCAGTGGACGGTCGTGGAGACGTTTAGCATCTTGATCGAAGTGGTCGTCTCGGGCATGGCCGTTGCGTTGGTCTGGGATCTCAGAATGACCTTCAAGGTCAAGGTGGCGGTCGTGTGCGCCTTCTCAGCGCAGCTGCTCGTCATCGTCCCCGTCATCTTCCGGCTCATCTTTGTGCGTCGGTCGCTGGGGACGTCCGACATTACGTTTGCCTGGACGGAGATGGCGCTGACGACACAGATCGTGATGCACTTCTCCATCATGGCCGCAACGTTCCCGTGCCTCCGCCAGTTCCTACAAGCGTTCGACTCGGGCTTCGGAGCTACGACGAAGATGGAGACGCAGACGGGTTCGGGTAGTCGGACCCACAACAGCTACGCGATGCAGTCCCTCAGGTCCAAGCGAGGAGACGAGGGGCCCGTCAACGGGACGGATGGAGATGAAGGAGTAGGAGCAGCACGTGGAGCAGTACTGTACAACACCAGCGGGGCGATGGCGAGGCTGCGGCCGGATCGCACAACCGAAATCGTGACGCATGCGACGGCCGAGGGGCCTGACCGAGCCGGTGACGAGGACCGCAGCATCGACAGCGTCGGCAGCGACAAGGCCATCATCTGGAGGACAAGGGAGTTTGAGGTGCATTACGGAGACCGGGAGAGAGACGGCTGAGCGCTTCGGTGCCAGAGGCATATTGTAATTAAGCTCAACATTATAGAGGTTCGATCTATCGAGACCAAGCTTAACTAGTAGCATCCCTCTCTGATAAGGGCCCATACGGGACTATTGCAACTCGTGGCTCGCCACTGCCGAGAGCCGACTGCCCAGCGACTGGTAAGGAGGATGCTGCAATAGTGACGCAAGCGAGGTCTGCCTGGCTAGACCGGACAGGTGACGGGGACCAGAGAGTCTAGAGTGTCGGTACCTGTTTGGCAATGAGGCCATCATCTAGCAAAAGGACGAGGGAGGTTGCGATAGATCGCCGAAATCGGCGGAGAGCCGACTAAACGCTCCGCCGCCAAGCGCGGTATAACTTGGCTCGATATAGGAGAGGTCCCATTTATCGAGACCAAGGTGAGGCTAGTAGCATCTTCTTGTTGATAATGGCCTATACTGACATTACGCTTGCAACTCATGGCGCTCCACTGCCGAGAGCCGACTGCAGAGCGACTGACCGGGATGCCCGAACGTTAACGCAGGCGATGAATTTCGGAGTATCCAGAGCGTCGGTCAATTTTAACGATGAGGCCATCATGATGTAAAGGACGAGAGAGGTTGAGGTGCATCACGGAACACCGGCAGAGAGCCGGCCTAGAGGTCCGCCGCCAAGCACATTAGCTCGATAGACTAGACGTCCGATATATTCGAGGCCCAGCTGAACTAGTACAGCTACCACATGTAACGTTTGCAGCTCTTCGTTGACGATGGCCCACACGATACGAGTCGACAACTGCCGGCGCGTCTCGTCGTCCGCCACTGCCGAGATCCGACTGCATGGCGGCGGAGCGGGATGCCGAAGGTGACAGTCCAAGCCAGCGTGGTGCATTCGTCATCAGTACTTGGCGGGTCGACGAGATGGACGAGATCGGACACAGAGAAGGCGGCATCCGGCCAGCCAGCCTTCAATGCTGTTGTCTTGATCAGCTTCCCAACTGGCCGGGCTTCTTCGCAGTTCACTGCCTCCCTCCCTCTCTCTCTCAAGAGTCGCGGCCGCCGAAGTATTTTTTTTTTCCCTCCTTCTTTTTCATCTTCATCACTTTTGCTCCTTGAGCTTCACTTTCCTCAAGGCGACCTTCGAGCACAGCAAAGCTGACACGGGTTCCCGTCTGACAGCGGTCGGGACTCTCGGGATGATATTAAGCTTTGGATGGTGCATGTCCGTGCCGTCTGGGCGCCGCACGCCAAGGACATGAATGATGGGGGCCGACGATCATATTTTTTGACTTTTTCCCTTTCTTGTTTGGCGTTGGTCGTTGACGTTGGCTAAAGACGTTTCAGGGCTGCACGGGCCGGCCGGGATGCGCGCTGTCCAGGTGGTGCCTCCTGTCTCGTCGACCTCGAAATGCTTTCAATGCACCGCAGTCTTGCTGGAGCGCTGTGGCAGTGCAGTGCAGTGCAGTGCAGTACCTACGAGGCATCCTCTGCTGGAGGCCCACAGGCACGATCCAATGGACAGCTGCACAAGTGCACATGGGGTCCATGGGCGCTGTCGAATGCTTGGCAGCCCAGGGCACGCGTCATTGTGGCGCCGGCTGCGACTCTGCCCAGCCGTCTCAGCTCTCTGAAACGCGGTGCAGCGCCGCGCTGGGCTGCACTGTCTGTCGCGACGGCACTGGCTTCCGGGAGGGGGGCCAGGCACCTCAGGGTGCTGGCTGCCCGCCCTGGTGCCTGAAGCAGACAGGCTCCCGCCGCTGACTGCACTTCGGGGCCGTAAGCCAAAGGCGCTGTGCTCTCCGTCGCACAGGGGGGGGGGATCCGCTCCCGGGGACCCTGTCGCGCTGCGACAGCCGCACCGAAACGAGCCCGGCTGCCAATCAGCAGGCGTCGCGCGCCTCGGGTAAGAGATGTGTGGGAGCCAGAAAAATATCCCAAGATCGTCGTCATCCACCCGGACGCGGCACTGGGGGGGCCGCCAGGCAGGCCGTTTGCTTGGCTGGGCTCGGCTCCTTCACGGATGGCACGGGGGGTTGCGCCCCTTTTCCCGTCTTCAACGTGTGCTGGGCCGTTGTCATTGTCATCGACGTCGGCGTCGTCATCTCCCCCTCCGCCTCGCTGCGCCCGCATCTCTTGCTGTGTTGCAATTCATTAGTCGTGCCTACATTGTAGGTGTGCTGTACTGTTTTATCCGCGTCCTCTTTCAATCAATTCGGTGCCAGGTGGGGGTGGTGTGTGTATTGATTGCGCATACCGTCTCGCATACCTCCCTTCCTCCCCTCCCAAGCCCCAAGATACGTGCGGCACCGCCGTGCCCGCTGTTTTTCGACCCACCCACTCGGCTTGGCTGCGTTCGCTCCCTCATTATTATTCCTCAACCTCCGGCGGCCATCATACCGTACCTATTCGTCAACCTTCCGCCTCGTATCTGTCTCGCATCGTTTTTCTTCCCCTTTCGTCGCCTCTTTCTTTCTCTTCTCGTCTCTCCCTCGCCTGCCAGCCGTCTTGCCATCCAAGCCGCCCGCCGGGTCTGCGCCTCGGACCGCGGCCCGTCTCGACGCTCCTTTTCAACTTTCGACACGCCATTTCCTCGTATCCGCCGAGATAAAATCATAAGACAGCACCACCCGGCGCCAGCGGCCCTCAACCCACCGGCCGCCGCTTTGGCGCCCTCCACTGCGGATCCGCAAAACGAGCACCCCCTCGAGAGGGCCTGTTTGCCTGCTATCCAGCCGCTGACGACTTTTTACTTTTCTTCCTCGTCGTCCCTCGAGCACTGGCCTCGTCCAAGCGCCTCGACGCACTGCCACGCCGCCACCAATTTTGACTCGAACCTCGAAACGACCGTCGACGACTGACTGCCTGCGATAACGGCGACGAGGCAATCTCCCCCCGACAGAAAGCCCTTCTCGATGCCTTCTTTATAGACGTTGGACTGTCTAGCATTGACGGGCCGTCGCTTGAGTTGACGCGCTCCTGCCTCTTCTCCCTCCGCCTTCTCCCGTCGCGTCGACATCCGACTCCCTCCAACCCCCCTGGCGATCCCCTCTGGCCAGCCTGGCCCGAGCGCGCAGACGCCCGCCCGCCGCAAAGATGCTCAACTCCCGTCGCGCCCTCGTTGCCGCCGCCTTCCTCATCACAGTCTTCTTCCTCGTCTCGCGGTCGCATCATTCATCTCCCGAGGCCACAAAGCACACGTCCTCGTCCGCCGGCGGCGTACCCCAGTCCAATGGCGACCACGGCGTCACACAACGTCCCGCAGCCGACGTCAAGACACAGCAGCAAAGGAGGCCCGTGCCTCAGAAGCCCTTGATAGATACGTCGCGCATGTCGACGTATGACAAGCTCGCCTATGCCTACCCCTACGACATCGAGGTCAAATTCCCGGCATACATCTGGCAGACGTGGAAGACGACGCCAACGGACAAGGACTTTCAGTTCCGCGAGCAGGAGGCGTCGTGGACCGAGCAGCACCCTGGCTTCGTCCACGAGGTCATTACCGATGACGTCGCGGTCAGCATGCTCAGCCTCTTCTACGCCGCCGTCCCCGAGGTCCTCGAGGCATACAAGGTGCTGCCCTTGCCAGTCCTCAAAGCCGACTTCTTCCGCTACCTCATCCTCTTCGCGCGAGGCGGCATCTACTCCGATATTGACACGTACGCCATCAAGAGCGCAGTGGAGTGGGTTCCTAGTCAGATCCCGCGCGAGTCCATTGGGCTCGTCATCGGTCTCGAGGCGGATCCCGACCGTCCAGACTGGGCCGACTGGTACAGCCGCCGCATCCAGTTTTGCCAATGGACCATCCAGAGCAAGCCCGGCCACCCGGCCCTGCGTGATATCATCACAAGGATCACAAACGCGACGCTGACGCTCAAGCGCACGGGCAAGATTTCCAGCTTCCAAGGCAAGAACGTGGTCGACTTGACTGGGCCGGCGGTTTGGACCGACACCATCATGGACTACCTCAACGACGAGCGCTTCTTCGACATGAAGAAGAGCAAGGGCAAGGTTGACTGGCGCAACTTCACCGGCATGGAGATGAGCAAGCGCGTGGGAGACGTTGTGGTCCTGCCCATCACGAGCTTCTCGCCGGGCGTGGAACAGATGGGGGCCAAGGACTACGACGATCCCATGGCCTTTGTTAAGCACGACTTTGAAGGTGAGACTTGACGCGCCGATGCGGCTCGTTGAACGTGCGATTTGCTGACGAGAGTCGCGACAGGCACGTGGAAGCCCGAGGAAGAACGGCATATCGGCGAGCAAAAAGAACAGCCGCAAGAGGGTCTCGTCCAATGACGACGGCAGTGACGACGACACATGCGCGCAGCTCAGGCTTGGTGCCGCTGACACATCGGCGAGTCGACACGACGCTGCGCCGCCGGGGAACCAGCCAGTGTGGCGCAGCCGCCGGCAGTTCACCATCTTCCTTGCGACAACGCCTTTGGACGGCGGCCCGGGCGGCATCACACCATATTTGGGTCATTTCCTTGCGTCACATCTTTGCTTTACCTCTCTCCTAGGAACTCGACGTCTTCGGCGGCCCGAGAGCCGGTGTCGCCAAGCCGATGACCGCGAACAATCATTGATCCGCACGCAGAGGGCGGATGGGATAGACTGGATCTCGTCTGCATCTTTCGGTTCTATGTGTTTTATTATCACGATTCTTACATGGCCTTGCCCCCCTCGGCTCAAGGCGCGACGATGAGGGACGCGCGGGAGGCCAGCCCTCCCGCGCATGCATTGTCAGCTGCTTGCAAGACACGTCAGCGACACAGGCGCATTTCTTTCGGGGTGGAGTTTGGGTGAAGCCGGTGGGCGTGAAAATGGCGCTCGCACAACGCGGCCCCATGGGGAACACGGGAGCAGCGTGCGTCGATCCGGGGCAGGGAAGTTCGCTTCGGCACGCATGACTGGACTGCCATTATACATATAGATAGAAGGGGTCGGTGCTTAGAGAAAAGGGGGCATCAATTTGGGGGGCGGCGGGCTTGGAGCCGGGTAGGCCCAGATAGGCAATTATTTGAGAGGCGGAATTGGAGAGGCGGCATGGAGTACGAACTTCAGCGCAATACCGACCTTGTCTGACATGCCCGTACGAAGCCCGCATTGCACCAAAGGCCAGTGGCCACCACAAGGGTGGGACCCCTGAATGAACCGACGTCTGTTGGGGAACCTGGGGGGAGGCGAGACGGCACAGCGTCAACCTGGAATGTCCCACCTCAGCACCCCGCCTGTGGCACCCCCCGAACGTCCAAAGTTGCTTGGGGGGCTCCGCACTTCAGAACTGCCCCAAGCCCTGTTCCCTGGCCGCCGCGCAGGCACCTCCTGGACGCACCAATCGCGGGTGCCTACGCCCCGCGGGCCAACCGCTGTGGGGGTCCCTTACCCCAGCGGGCTGCCTGTCCCCCAGAGGCGCAGGCCAGGTGCCGCTGTCGCAGTAGTTAGGTTCTGACATGGGGGGGAGCTTGGAAGCCGAAAGAGGGGAGGAGCTTCAGCCGAGGGACGAGCAGACAAGCAGACGTAATAATAAGACGGGAGGGGAGGGGGGGTCGACCACGAGAGCGGCACGCACGCGAGGTGCTTCTTCGGCTTCTGCTTCTGCATCTCCTCCTTTCTCTGTGTCACGTCTGTCTGTCTGCCTGCGTGTTCTCTTGGCGGAGCGGCTTGCGAGTCTCTCTGTGTCTTTGCCCCTCCTCATCAATTCCCTTTTTCTCTTTTCCCAATCTCCTTTTCTGCGTGCGTGGGATATTGCTGCCGTCTCAGAGAGCGTCGTCCGTCGATCTGGCGCGGGACCCCTCAACTCATCTGCGTCCACTGCCGTGACCTGACCAGCAGAGGGCTTCTTCTCTGTGTTGTTTCGTCGGGTCCATTGCGATACACACACACACACGGTCGGGGCGACGGGAGACGGGGAGAGTGAGAGTGTGAGCGAGTGAGAGAGTGAGAGTGAGCGAGACAGAGAGAGAGAATGGGGTTCAGAACGTGCTCGCCGCTGAGGCCCGCGGCTGCTGCCGTGCTGGCCGGCGGCGCGGCGAGGACGGCGTCGTCCATGTCTGGGCGCTGGCGGGTGAAGGAGGGTCTCGTGGTAGCCGTGAGCGTTGCTGCGTCGCGATGTGCGCAGAGGAGGTTCATGGGCACCGAGGGGTTGAGTATACGGCGCGGGCCGAGTGAGGTACGTACGGTCGTGATGGTGATATGTGATGCCGCGGCTTCCCTCTCACGTCACAAGAGTGTGAACGGAGAAGCATGCGCCTATTCACGTCGATGCTCTCACGCACCCGCTCATCCAACCTCACCTCCAACCCCTCACAATGGCAAGAAAGCTAACGCTCCCGGCTCCTCCTCCCACAGCCAGCCCTCTACACGGGCACCATCCCGGAGCACTTTGCCGCCACGGTCGCCCAGCACGCCGACCGGCCGGCCGTCATTGCTCGCGCGCCCGTGAGCAGTGCTCAACAGCAGCAACAAGACCCCGACGTGGAGGAAACGGTCCTCACCTACCGCGGGCTCGACCTCCTCTCCAACCGGCTCGCCGCGTCGCTCGCGGGGCTCGGCGTGCGCAAGGGCGACCGCGTCGCCGTCTCGCTCGGCAACGGGGCCGAGTTCGCGGCCCTCACCTACGCCGCCTTCAAGCTGGGCGCCGTCCTCGTGCCGCTCAACCCGAGCTTCAACGCGGGGCAGGTGTGCGCCGCGCTCGCGCACCTGCAGGCCGAGGTGCTCGTCATCGGCGCCGTCACGGACCTCGCGTACAAGCCGGGCTGCGGGCGCAGCAACGAGGACCTGCTCGCGGCCGTGGTGGGAGACGTGCGCGCCGCCGGGCCGCTGCGGAGCGCCGCGGTTGTGCCCTCCCTGCGGCACGTCGTCGTCGTCGACAACAGGGCGTACCACCCGCAGGTCGACTTTCCGCTCGAGGCGTGTCCCGCGCTGACGCCGTACGACGCCCTGCTGGCCGGGTCGGACGCGGCCGTCGTGCCGTCGGCGCCGCTCCGCCCGTCCGACACCATCAACATCCAGTTCACGTCCGGGACGACGTCGACGCCCAAGGCGGCCATGCTGGCGCACGCGTCCATCCTCAACAACGGGGCGCTCATCGCGCACCGCATGGGGCTCGACCCGCGCGACCGCATCGTCGTGCCGCCGCCGCTGTTCCACTGCTTCGGCTCCGTGCTCGGCTACATGGCCACGGCCACGACGGGCGCCGCCCTGCTGTTCCCCAGCCCGGCCTTCGACCCCGTCGCCACCCTGCGCATGTGCCTCGACCGCGACGCCACGGGGCTCTACGGCGTCAGCACCATGCTCGTCGCCGTGCTCGAGGCCCTCGACGGCGGCGTCGTCCGCGGGGGTGCCGCCCCGCAGAGCCTCCGCAAGGGCATCGTCGCCGGCAGCAGCGTCCCCGAGGCCCTCATGCGCCGCATCTACCAGCGCCTCGGCCTCGAGGACCTCGTCATCTGCTACGGCATGACCGAGACCAGCCCCGTCAACTGCATGACCACGCCCTCGGACCCCTTTGTCAAGCGCACCTCGTCCGTCGGCCGCCCCATGCCGCACACCACCGTCAAGATCGTCGACCCCACCGACCGCTCCCGCGTCCTGCCCCTCAACACCCGCGGCGAGCTCGCCGCCTCGGGCTACCTCGTCATGAAGGGCTACTACGACGACCCGGAGCGCACCGCCGAGGTCCGCATCGAGGAGCCCGACCACCCCGGCCTGACCCCCGACAATGATGTCCCCGGCAAGAAACCCGGCACCTCCGTCTGGATGTACTCGGGCGACGAGGCCGAGATGGACGCCGATGGCTACGTCACCATCACCGGCCGCATCAAGGACCTCATCATCCGCGGCGGCGAGAACATCCACCCGCTCGAGGTCGAGAACTGCCTCTTCCAGCTCCCCGGCGTCAAGGAAGTCTCCGTCGTGGGCGTCCCCGACGAGCGCCTCGGCGAGAGCGTCGCCGCCTTTGTCATCCCCCGTCGCGACTGGGTCGTCGCCGACAACAACGCCACTGAGCAGCAACAGCAGCGGGAGGCCGGACCGCAAGTCTTGACAAAGGATGCCGTCCGCGCCTGGGTGCGCACCAAGCTCTCAAGCCACCTCGTCCCCAAGCACGTCTTTTGGGTTGACGAGTACCCCAAGACGGCCAGCGGCAAGATTCAAAAGTTCAAGCTGCGCGACATGGCCGTCGAGGCGCTCAGGAACGCCGCCGGCTCGGTAAAGGCATGAGCGGTACATCTGCGATGTAGTAGTGTATATAGTCTGCAACTGTGAATATAGCGATCCGTTTTTGGATGGCATGCCTGCCATATTGTCATGTACGACTCACGTACATTCGTCAATTGTGTGAATGACGGCCAAAGGAAAAAGCATCACCGCGGCATCAAAGTCATAGGAGCAGCGGCTCGGCCGCCGTTTATTCATAAGATGAGAGAACCCAGTCCAGAACCCAGAAATCGCATCAGCAGTGGGCTCGTTCTCGGCCCACCGCGAGCAAAACAAACAAGCCATCAAGTCGGCCGTGTCGTCTAAGGGGCATCGTCTCTATGCGTGAGAAAATCTCAGACCGCGCACGCACGCCGGCCCCGGCTGCCATCGCGGGGGCCCGACGAAAAGTAAAGCACAAAGCATGGGGGGAATATCGGGAGCAGCGCCCCAGTCCCTGCTTCCAAACAACCAAAGCACCTAAAGCACGTAGCCTCTACACACAGCCATCCGCCGCTGGGCGGCCTTAGTCGACCTGCTTCTCGCAGCCTATCCGGCCAAGAAGCTCCTTTCGGTCGCTGTGGCCAGGCAAGCTGACTCCGGAGCTGCTGGCCTGGCGCTTAACCCCGGTCCGGCGCTCCCAGTTCTTCAGGTCCAATTCCTCCACGCCAACTTCTTCCTCGAGCGGTTGAGCCTCCTCATAGATAAACTCGTCCTCTTCATCGGCCTCCTCCTCGTCTCCCTCGTCGTCGCTCCGCGTGTCCTCGGCGCCGTCGCCACGGATGACCTTGACGGCGACGCGGACGATCATGGTGAACCACACAATGGTGATGACCTGAAGCAGGAGCAGCGGCGCAAGGAATGCCCATTTGACCGTGGAGTTGTAGCAAACACGGCCGGTAGAGCTGAGGAAGGGCTCGATGAGGTACGAAAGCCCGGGCGGGGGGTCCTCGGGCCCGATGAGATTGTCGTTGGAACCACGGAAGCAACCGAGCGGCATAATCTTCTCCGTATGAGCATACACGGACCAGCAGCCCATGATGTAGAAGATGTGGCGGGCGATGAACCACGAGACCATGAAGATGCCGAAGAAAACGTCGCAGAGCGTGTTGTGGCCCGTGTACTTGAGGCACTTGGCAACCTGAGCCTGGTTAGCACGGCTCGCATCGATTGCGCGGGGGCATCGTTGGACACGAACCGGAAAGAACAAGTCCACCACGTCCATGATAACCAGAATGAAGTTGCCGATCCGGGTGAAGTGATAGCAGTAGCACGACGAAATGAGGGCAGTGGTGATGATGTGGTGACTAAACATTTGCCAGTGGTCCTTGCGACGCTCCTCGATGTTGATGACGATGATCTGCTGCAGCCAAAAGGCCCACTGCGCCAGGACGTAGCCCTTCATGAGACCATCCATTTCGCGATTCGGCCAGTCGGTCCAGAGTCCTCGCATGTTCATGAAGTGTGGCGACGTGCTGTAAATGTACTGCAAGAGGTCAGCCGTGGTCGGGCGAATCATGGCGACAGTGACATACCACGCCGAGTGTCCAGAAAAAGCAGTAGTAAACGAGCAGCCAGGCTTGTTCGCTGAAGCGGGTCAAGGTCTTTCGCTTGGTGACGCCCTGGAGCCTGGCGAACGGGGCCAGGACGTACTCCATCATGCCGGCCCGCAGGCCCGTAAAGAGCACGATGCAAAAGGTGATAAAATAGGCATCATCAAAGCCAATGCCATACTTGCCGGTCTGCTCGCTATAGTACGCAAGGTGGAAGAACTTGTGGGTATGTATTCTCGCTTTCGGAATGAAAGTGTGTGCCAGGAACAGGAGCGCCAGGAGATTGAAGGAGAGGCCTGTGTGGGACAAAGCGTTAGCCGGTGCTGTTCGAGCTGCATTACGGTCGGTTGCCGCCGGCATTGCGAGCCAATTGATCTCCAGCGAGATGATCGGAAGGCAGCGACGACGGCAGCAACATGTCCTGGGCATGCGCCTCGCAACCAGCCCGAGATGGGTGCTCGAAGGCTTGCGGCGAAGGGGGGTACGCACCGATTTGGTTCTCGACGAACCACCGCGCAAGGTGCTTCCAAGTGCCATCCTCCTTGCGCTTCAGCCTGCGGACGAGGACGACATTGCTGCCCGACGTCTGCATGTACAGCGGGCCGTTCATGTTGGGGTTGCTGGAGCCGGACTTGAGGTGCGGTCGCGCAGCAGCCTTTGCGGCGCCGACAGCGGCGACGGGCGACGAAGGCTCGTCCGGCTGGTAGTCGCCCATTGTGTCGAGCGGTTGGAGGGCCTGGCGAGAAACGAGTGTCCGTCAGGGAGAGGAGAAGAGAAGAGAGGGGGTGGGCTTGCTGCTCTCTCGTCGTCGGCGCCGCTGCGTCGTGCTGCAATCCGACCAGCAGATTTTCCGTCGAGTCGAGGGGAAGGATGCAGTGGCGACGGCGGGCGGGCGGGCTGCGGGCGGGCTGGCGGTGGAGGTGGTTGGCGCTGCCCCCGAGTACTTGTAGGTAAGGTAAGGTCGGCAAAGCGTGCTACTTTTGTGTGGTATTAAAGTGCGGCGGGCGGTGGGGTGGCCCGTGTTTCTCCTTGTCGCGGCCTGGCCCAGACACAGAAGCCGACTGGAAGATCTCGAGTCGAGCCCCGGCGGAGGCGCTAGGGGGCACCTTGGCCCTGGGGGGTGGGTGGGCAGGCAGCACGATGATCTCGTCGAGACACGGCGCAGTGGAGATGCGAATGTGGGCGAGCTGGGCGAGGCACATAAAAAAAGGTGGGCGGTCTGTAAAACCACTGGGCTCTGCAGTAGGTTTGGGAGTCGTTTTGCCAGCCAGATCGTGGAGATGTCCTCGTCGTCGTCGTCGCTGCTGTTGCCGCCGTCGAGCGCGCTGTCGAAAAAGGTCGTAAAAGTGATACGCAGCAGTACGTTACAGGGGCGGCGGAGAGAGAGATGCAGCGGCGACAAGGCTCCAGCCGGCAACGTCTTGACCGAGACGGCGGTTTAATAAGAGGGCGCCCGTGCGGAGAAGCGCGCCTCGCAGCTGCTGGAAGCGAAAGAGACAGAGCGAAAGAAGAGGGAGGGGAGGATGCCAGGCGAGCAAACGAACGAGGAGCGCACGCCAGGGATGCGGATGTGGATGTGGATGCGGATGAGGATGTCAAGGTGGATGGATGGGCACAACGTTGGAGGCGCCCGCAACGGGAAGGGTTGGCAGTCAAGCACTCGAGGCAGGCCAAGCCCTTCCAGGTTCCCAGGCGGGCATGGACGGCATGGATGCCGTGCAGGCGACTTGTAAAGTATCGACATGCCCGAGCTCCAGTGGACTTCCACGCTGGCATCGAGCCCTGGAAGCCCCCTCTGCCAATCAACCCCCCCGGTGCCCGTTGCACGTTGTACCGTACCCGTGGGCTTGCAGTGTCGTTGCATCATTCTCGGCGAGCCGAAGCTGGCGCCTTCTGATGTCCGTCGTTCGTACTTACTTCGTACGTCCTCGTTTGGCCTCCTCTCCTCCTTCCGTCCCAGACAGGCAAGGGCTGCTGCATGCTTTCTACGCTACGGCGTGTAGTATGTACTATAACTTGGGGAAGGGCCTTGCCGAGGGGTGCCTTCCAACAGGAGGGGAAGCAATGCTTGCTTCCTCGTCGAGCTCTACGAGATTCGTCGTGTCTGTGGCGACGGTTCAATGTCGAAAGCACGGCACGCCACGGTAGCACCCGACGACGCAAAGACACGAAAAGCCTCGCGAAACGGCACGCAAGCCAAACGCGCTGGGCGCTGCTAGCCGAGGCGCCCAACCGGCGCCAGGTGTCACCAGTGGCTCCAGCGCCTGCCCGCGCAACCTGAGCTACCGTTTTCAAGCTTTCGGAGGCGAAGATAAACTCCACCGCGGCGCTCTCGTCGGCTGCCCTGGATGCCTGTCCGCGACTCCTGCCCGCCATCTATCTGCCTGCCCGCTCCTCGCCAGTGACGACGATACGAGCACCTCAGTGGATTCTCCCTCCACGCAAGGGAGGGGGGCGCGCCCCTCCTTTCATGAGTCGGCAATCTTGACAGGCCCCGGGAACCCAAAAATTGCCCCCTCTCGGATCAGAGAAACGTTAATCACCACGTGAAATGCGTTTCGACGGCCGAAAAGCCTCAGCGTCATGAAAGCGGTCAAGGCCATCCATCCCAGATGCAAGTGCGGGGGGTGCGGAAGGATGGCATGGGAGGGCGACCCAGACACACTCCTCAACAAGTCTCGACGACTTTTTCAAAAAAAGAATCAGAACCTGGTGCAGGGAAGGAAGGAAGGGGTCGCGCGGTGCAGTGCAGTGCAGTGCAGCTCAGGGACCACCTCAGGCTAAGCTCGTGCCTTGGTAGGCGGCCAATTAGGGGTGCGCTCACTGGACGGCGCGACCTGGGAAGCTCCCTCAGGTACGTGTACCTCGAGCTGTACCCGTGGACCTCCAGCTGCGAGTGCCCACGAAATGCTCCGCCGTCATGGTGGGCCGTGGGGCGCCTTCAGTGGGCAGCCCTCCCCGGTGGGTTCTCCGGCCCACTTGATCTTCACGTTCACTCCTGTCGAGGCGACGCTGCGAACCCGCATTGTCACTGCTGAGGTGCGCCCGCGCCCCAACCGACGGGGGGGGCGCGCGAGGGTGGCCCGTCATGGCGGCCACCTCCAGCTCACCTCACCCCGTGCTAGCGCGTCGGCTACAGTTCAGTGCGTGGTGGTTGGCCGCCAGCTCGGCGGCGCGGGTTGGCCCCTCGGGGCAGCCCACTGAAAAGGGGCTGCAGGAGATCTGGCCCCCAGAAAGGAAGCCCAGATTGTCCCTCCAGCGCGCTGTCCCGGCCGTGCGCGCGAATCCCGCCCGCCGCCATTGGCGCCCGCGCCGGCTCGCTGGCTCCCCTTCGCCTTCCATCGTCGCACGGGGGTTCTCCCCCCTCCTTCGCCGTCGTACGTCCAGCGACCGCCTGCCACGACGCTTCGTCATGCCTCCACTGACGCGCGCCTGCAGCATCTCATAACCTTGGAGGGCATCATGCATCATCGGCCGCGGCAAGCGGCGTAATTCTCGGCCAGAAGCCGTCTTCTGCCAATACATCCCCGTGCATGCGTGCGTGCAAACCTCCTGCAAGATGCGAGGTATCACTTGTGTCGTTGTGATGTGGGGGGGCGGCCTCGCTTCAACTGTGTTGCTCGGCCAGGTACTGTAACCGCTGCTGGTCTGTCGGTATTTCGGACTTTGCAGTCGATCTGTACATCCGCGCGCGCCCGCTACCAACGGGCGTTTACCAGCAAATTCTTGCCATGCACAGACGGGCGACTGCTCTGCTCATCTTTCCACTATTTGCCCAATAACTGCTTTACTGCGACTGGACTTTCCAGGCCCAATTGTTACGAACCTCTTCATGCGATGTCTCCATGTCGAGGCTTGAAACAAGCCACCCTGGAGCGGGCGAGGTTCCGCCAATTGTTGGCAGCCCACGTGGGTCGCCGGCACAGCCACGCCCGCCACAGCTCTCGCCACACTCGTCCCCACCTGACGTCCACCTGCGGAGCACCACCCGCAGCTGCCTGCCCGTCCGCGCCGTCAGGGTGACACCACCACTCGACTCGACGACAACCACAGCGTGCACTTGACGCATCGCCATCACCATCACCATCGCGTGCCATATCTACTCGGCATCTGTATTCGCGGCACCTAGACAGCCGGTTGCTTTCCTTGTCGGAGAAACAGACCTCCAGCCCTCGCCATGGCGTCCAACGCAAAGTACCAGCCCGCGGCGCAGCACGACCCGGACGAGCACGACTACACGCACGCGCCGCCGTCGTATTCCGCCACCGCGACCGAAGGCGGCCCTTCGTCCGCTGCGGCCCGCGATGAGACCCAGGGCCTGTTTGGCCCGCCGCGCAGCAGCGAGGACAACATCCCCGACGACTTCAAGGTATGTCTCTGAGACGACGGATGCGGAGGAGCGTCATGGACCTCTGGAGCTGTGGCGACCGCTCGAACAGCCCAACATGCTAACATGATATCCATCAGTTTGGCGGCTCCGTGGCCGAAGCAACCGTCGACATCCGCAACCAGTTCGTCCGCAAGGTCTACACCATTCTCACCGTCCAGCTGTTCGCCACCGCCGGCGTCAGCGCCCTCACCTTTTTCAGCGAGTCCTACAAGACATGGATCCAGAGCCACCCAGGTGTCGTCTGGATCTCGGTACGCTCCCCCGGCTCGCCCTCCGAATAACTAGGCAGTTTCCTAACGAGTAATAGCTCATCGGCGCCCTGGTCTTCCTGGGCCTGACGTACTGGAAGCGCAAGTCGTACCCGACAAACTTGCTCTTCCTGTCGCTCTTTACCCTCACTGAGGCTTATTCGATTTCCGTCGTCGTCTCCTTCTACAAGACGTCCATCGTGCTCAACGCCGTGGTCCTGACCGCCGGCCTCTTCGTCTTCCTCACCCTGTTCGCCTGCCAGACCAAGTACGACTTCACCTCGTGGATGCCCTACCTCTTCGGCGCGCTGTGGGGCCTCATCCTCTTCGGATTCATGGCCATGTTCTTCCCCTACAGCTCGACCGGCGAGCTCATCTACGGCGGCCTGGCTGCCCTCATCTTCAGCGCTTACATCCTCGTCGACACGCAACTCATCATGCGCAAGCACCACGTGGAAGAGGAGATTGCCGCCGCCATTAGCCTGTACCTCGACATCATCAACCTGTTCCTCGCCATCCTGCGCATCCTCAACAGCCAGTCCAACAACTGATTGGACCCAACAAACCCATCGAGGAAGCCGGAACAGGATTGATTGCGGATTCGAAGGAGAAACCGAGGGAAAGTGGGCTGATGGGTGCCAGAGCTGCAGCTTAGGACCCGAGTCGTGGCTTGCTACTGCGTTTTTTCGGCTCATTGTTGTTTTGAAGAGCGCGTAGGCGCAAACTGGGTTAGGAGTTCATCACATTGGTTCTGCTCGCCGTTTCCTACGCTCGTCTCGTTCATATCTCCCCGAGTACCATGCCTTTACGCCAAGCGAGATCATTAATATCGTTGCACTCACTCTTGCCTGCGCACGCCACGTCCCCGTTCCACGAATCGTTGAAGGTATTCGATATTTGCATTAGAAGTCCACTAAAAGGCTAGGAAATGGAGAAATAAGCGGGATGCCGCAGGTACAGGCCAGGCAACAAACAGACGCGGCTCCAATCAATATACCCGCAACGGGGTCGAGGGCCATGGGAGCTGCCCTTGCGACGGCTCGCTGCAACCATGCACACTCGCTCATCGCGTGGATCTGCCGCAAGCCCCTTCCGTGTCCCGTTGCACCACTTTCGTCCGGTACGTGCCAGCGCACGTCCCGCACGAAGCCAGTGCTCGGTATTCCGTCAAGAAGCCTCGAGAAGCAGGCCGCCCCTGCTCCTGGGCCTCGCCTTTCCCGACAACTCGCCTCGATGTCTACCGTCGTCTCATTCATGGGCAGCTTTTCTGGCTGTGTAAAATGGCAGTGTGGAAGGGTTAAAAACAGACTCGATTCGATTTTGCTGCAGCCAGGGGAATACTCTCCGACCCTCCCCTCCTTCGTTCAGGGAGGCGGAACAGAACCAACGCCGAGAGCAATAAAGTAGACCAACATCGCACTTCGTTTATCAGGATACCGCTCGAAGACCCCGTATTCTGTGTGAGATGATCTATTCCGGGTGTGGGTGCTCGCCGTTGGCGGCCTCGGCAGGCGCGGGCGTGGCCTGCGATGCTTCGCGCTGCATGCGGGCCTCGATCTCGCGCAGCTGCGACTCGCGGGCCAACAGCTCCTGTCGCTTCTCGTTGATCTCGCGCTGGACCTTGAGTTCGATCTCGCGCAGCTTCTCCTCCTCTCGTCGGAGCTGCTCCTCCTTGAGGCGAACGGACTGGGAGGCAAGATCCTCGGGGTTCATCGAGCTGTCGGCGCTGGTATTGCGTTAGAAGGAAGTCATTTGCAGGACGTGTCAAGGGGACATGACATACTTTCCAGAGGCGCCGTCGACGCTCTTGGACAGCTTCTCGGTACGGTAGTTCTCGTACAGGAAGTCGTGCGTGATCTCCTTCAGGTCAGCCAAGTGGCTGTGGAGGAGAGCGGATCGGATAGCCAGGAAGTCGGAGTGGCGCGGGTTGTCGACCTCGACGACACCCCAAGGATACTGGCGAGCGCGAGCCTTGCGGCCGCCAATCTCGACAATGTCCTCCGAGCCGACGATGGCGAAAGGCATGAGACCTCTCAGCTCAGCGTTCTCCTCAACGGTATCCTCGTCGTCCTCCTCAATGTCGTACGGGAAGTTGTAGACGGGGATCCTGTAGTGCTCAATGTCCTCCATGACCAGCTTCTTCGACTCGGCGAGCTCAGCAGGGGTGAGGGAGTCGGCGCGTCCGATGACGGGAATGACGTTGACGCGGGGAGCGAGGCGCTTCATGAGCTCGATGTCAAGCTCTCGCAGTCTGCACAAGCAACCGTCAATACCAATGTCAAGCGCAGACCGCAATTCGTCTCTGAAGCTTACCCGTGACCGGTGGGAGTGATGAAGTAGAGCATGGCATGGACTCGGTTGTCCCTGAAGCGAGGGTTACGCTTGATGCGAGACTCCTCGGCCAAGATGTCATCGTATTGCCTCTCCAGGTATCCGACAATCTCCGCAAAGCTGCCGAGAGTCAGCAATGTTACTCGTCTCTGGTGCCCTGGCGTTGTGTGCTATGGATGACGTACCTGGCTTCGTTGTCGATCTGGTCGCCGAATCCAGGGGTGTCGACGATGGTCAACGAGATGCGGGTGCCCTCCTCGTCAAGCTCGAGTTCTGAGCCAGGCAACGTCAGCAGGAGACACTCACGGGGACGTACAATGGGAGCATCACGTACCAACCGTGACCGGCTTGATCTTGACACCGTCTTCAACATGAGCATCGGAGGCATCATCCGCATCCTTATGCTGGAGGACGTCCTTGCCGCAGAGCGTGTTGACAAAGGTGGTTCGGCCTACATCATTGTATTAGCACTGTATTCTAGCGGGCGGTTCCACGGACTGGCAGAGGTCCGGGAATGTGCATCAGTGGCGGCGGTCGGGGCGAAGGCTCGAGGTTTCGGCACGGGAGATCGGCGAGAGTCGGAACGTACCAGTTCCAGAGGCACCGCAAACCATGAGGCAGAACTGAATGCCCTTCTTGACGTTCTTCTTGCGGCGGATCATTTTCTGGGGGAAAAGGAGTTAGCTTGGGGTCCATTGGCGCCAAGGAGGGGTTGGCAGCAAGTCGAGCCGAGCTCCTGGATGCGGAAACGAGATGGGAAAGACCAATTCGAGGGACACAGCAGCAGGAGCAGCTAGATGCAGAGAGAGAGAGAGAGGAGCGGATAGCACGTACGGCGGGGGACGACATCTTGACGGTGGCGCTCGAGGCGGAGTGTGGAATGTGTGCCGAGGGGAATGAGCTGCAGCGAAGCCGGGTGCGGGTTGTGAACGAGAGGCGGTAAGAGATGGATGGAGCAGGACGCGGGCGGCAGGCGTGCAGGTATTGCGCGTGCGATCACGAAGCGGCTCGTCCCCGTGAGATGTTGAGAAAGGAGGACGAAGGATCGTGATGGGCGACAGTGAGGTTGTGGTTGCTGCTCTCGCGGGCAGGAAACTGGCAAGGCAGGAAGGGGTGGAGAGAGAAAGGGGAAAGGTAAAGGTGGAATGTCTGGCAGGCTAATTTCACGCCCGGACCACCCATGGCGCCTGCCCTGGGGCCTGGTGCTGGACTGGACGGGAGGTGGGCTCTTCAGGTTGTGCGAGGCGAGGCGGGTAGCGGTACCTGCAGGCGCGTGGATTGGCCGGCTACAGACAGGTACAGGATACTGCTCCTCCGAGCTCGTTCATGTTGGGCACCACAGCAGCACGATGAACGAGCTCTTGTGCAGACAACCCTGACCCTCCATGAAAGATGGCTCCGTTCGATCTCGTGGCTGGCGAACCTTACTCAGTCGGTGCCCTGGTATCTTGCCCTTCCGAGCAGGACCCGACGTCGCTTAAGATGCGGGCAGGGCCTGAATACGACCATTTCCCAGTATGCGCGCCAGAGCTCGAGGAGCACTGGTCCCTCCGCGGGAAGCACAGAGCCCTGGAGGAAGGTAAGGTACCTGGGGGCGCTCGTCCGGTCAGGGACTCAGGGGCCAGCCGTTGCACCCTGTGCCCGCCCAGTGAGGTGGTGAGCCCCGAGACCCTCCACAAGCTAGCCACAGGCGAGAAGCCCCTCACTCTGGGGGTCCTCGAGGTCCCCAGCCAGCCAGCCACTGATGAACTCGGTGCCCCTGACTTGGGCCGTCCAATCCGTTGCCGGCCTCGAGTTATTAGCGCGTTCCCCAGAACGTGTGCGTGCGCCTGTGCGCGCTGCCGCTGCCGCTGCCGCATCCACTCACCTGGCGAGTAGGTGGTTGGTGTCGCCGCCTCCATAGGTGACCGCCCGAGTCCCAGCGACAGCCCCCGTACTGCGATCCCGTCGTCTGCCTTCGGGGCGATCACTGGCAATCCCGACTCTGTGGAATACATCACGTATCACGTGTCGCTTGCGGCTGCTTGCATGCACCGCCTGCCCAGGCCACCCTTGTTGGCAGTTTCGTTGGAGATGCGTTGCCTCTAACTCTGCTGCCGACGAGCTCTGGGATGCGCAAAGGAGCGAAAAAGCAACTGGCGCAATCTCCGTGGGTGCACAGAGTCATCTCGAGACTCAAGGCGGAATAAAATCAAAAGAAACGAAGCAGTGGCCAGGATCACTGCATTGCACAACCTGTCCGCGACAAAGAGAGCCCTAACGATGATTTCCATTTGCACAACGATGTCATGGACTTTGAACTACTAGTACGGAAGCACCATGATGGCGACAAGCACCCGATGGTTATGGCGTGCCTCGGCTTGCCGAATACAAAGACGACTTCTATCCATCATCGATGCCGGTGCCTGGCCACTTTGATGGAATGGAAGCTCTGGCAGTGGATAACTCCCCCAGCGTGGGGTCTGTTTAGCGCCTGCAGGGCAGATGAGGTGGACGGGCCAAGCCATAAGTCACTGGCTCGGGGCGAGCATGGCAGCCACCTCACGGGACGACTCGGCGGCGCCCTCCAGGCTGGTGTGTCGGCATGACCAAAGCCGGAAACATCACATCACCATCTAGCCCTCGGTCAACTGCCCGCCGCCGACACCAACCGTGAGCGAGCCGCTTGCACGGGACACGTCGCATCTCATCGCGCTTCTCACTCTGCAGCTCCCAAGCAAGACAGCCAGACGCATCCCTCCAACCATCGTGTGAGCGTGGCGACGACGCTATCGGAGGCCCCGTCACTTCACATCAACCTGCCGCCGTGGCGAGCGGCAGCCTCCTTGCGCCGCTGTCCTGACGACGATGACCAGCCCAGCAGCGCCGTAGCCTTGGGCTTCTTATTCCGCATCTACCTCATCACTACTTCCTCGGGGCCTCAGTCGCAGCCGCTCCGGTTCAGCATCGTCACACGAACCTGTCGCATTCCACGACTGCCCCGCCACCATGAATGTCCGCCCGCCCATAGAGACATCCAACCCGACGGCAGTCCTATCCGTCTCCTTCAACAATGACTCTAGCTGCTTCGCCGCCGGCCTCGAGTCTGGCATCTGCAGTTCGTGCTCCGTGTGATGCTATTCATGCACGCCCTCGCTGACGCCTCGCTTTTTGTACAGTCTTTCACACAAAATCATGCCTGCTCAAGGCATCCAGAGGTATGACGTCGGTTGAGATGCGCCCTCGGCGCACTTTGCGCTCAAGCTTGCTGAAACCATGTAGATTTCAATGCCGGCATTGGCCTCGTTGAGATGATGGGCATGGCCAACTATCTCGCCCTCGTAGGAGGCGGCAAGTCTCCCAAGTTCGCCATGAACAAGGTTGGCCCCCTTGCGGCTCGACAAGTTTACCCTCCGCTCATTTCTTTGCAGGCCATCATCTGGGATGACATGAAAGGCAAGGTTGCTCTTGAAATCACCGCCCTCAGCTCCGTCCGTGGGGTGCAGCTCGGCCGCGAGCGCGTCGTCGTCGTGCTCCAAAACAGCGTCCGCATCTACTCCTTCGCCAAGCCGCCCACCCTGTTGCACGTCTATGAGACGGCCGACAACTACCGGGGACTATGCTGTCTCTCCGACAAAAAGGTCGCGTTTCCAGGCCGCACCATCGGCCAGATCCAGCTCGTCGACCTTGCCACCGGCAACGTCAGCATCATCCCCGCGCACTCCTCCGCCCTCAAGGCCATCCAGCTGAGCCCCGACGGCGAGCTTCTCGCCAGCGCCAGCGAGACGGGCACGCTCATTCGTGTGTACTCGACCGGTAACTGCGCGAGAGTAGCCGAATTGCGGCGCGGCATCGACCCTGCCACCATCTTCTCCCTAGCCTTCTCGCCGTCCGGCGGCATGCTGGCCTGCACCTCGGACAAGTCCACCCTCCACATCTTCGACGTGCCGAACCCGCGGCGACTGTCTGTGCACAGGAGCCAGCAACTTGGGGGCGACGCCGAAGCGGGGAAATGGGGCATCTTGGGAAGAATACCCCTGATGCCGCGTGTCTTCTCCGACGTGTACTCCTTTACCTCGGCTCCGTTTGAGGCAGGCGACGAGTCCATGATTGGAGGCATCCCCTTCTCGGAAGGAACCGTTCTAGGCACGACCCGCCCGCCCAAGGGTGTCATCGGCTGGGTAGCAGAGGACAGTCTCGTCATCGTCGGCGCAGGACAGGATGCGCGGTGGGAGAAGTTTGTGCTCGTCGACGGCGAGGATGGAAAGCGACATTGTGTCCGCGAAGGCTGGAAGCGATACCTGGGGAACACATGATGGACATGATAGTGGAACGAGCGACATACATCAGCTACAACATATTACAGTATTATATCTAGGGCGTTTGGAGCTGGCGCGGCAAAGAATGGTTTGGTGGTTGTATTCTCGCGTTAGGTCATGAGTATGGTATTACATGGACAGCGGTTAGAGCTAATCTTCGCGCCGCCGCGGTGACCGGCTCCTGCTTCGCCGTCTGGGTCTCCTTTCGTGGATATCATCGTCCCGCCGCTTCCCACGACTGGGCCCATCTGAGCCTTGCCTGTCACGCCGTCTTCTGTCCCTTTCCGCATCTCGACTGTTGTCCCTATGCCGGTCCCGCCTTTGCTCCGAGGCAGCTTCCTCATCACTCTTATGTCGCCGTCGCTCTCTTGGTCGGGAGTCGCCGCGGTGTCTGTCCCGAGCCGAGTCTCCGTTTCTATGCCGCCGGTCTCGGCTGTCCGCTGAGTCGTCTCTCCGTGACCGCCTGTGGCCATGTTCACCATCATCATCGGCCCTATGTCTGTGCGATCGATGATGCCGATGTTTGTGCTTTCGGTCCTTCTTGTCTGCCAGCTGCTTCGCCTCCTCGACCTCTTTCTTCTTCTCCTCGATGAGGTAACCCTTCATAGGGTCGTCGTCGTCGTGATCCCGCATAAGTATCGCCAGCTCTCGTTCTTCGGGTAGCATGGGCCGTTGCGCTTCTTCTTCACTGCTCTCGTCCTCGGACACAGCCTTGCCTTCCCGGCGCATCATGTCCTCCCAGCCAACCTTGAACTCGTCGGGGTCTTCGTCATCTCGAGGCTTGTAACGCGCGTGGTCGACGCTTATCATCCGACCGCCAATCTCTGCGCCGCCGAGGTTGTCCACGGCCAGGTCGGTGCTTCGTTGGTTCTCATACTTGAGCCAGCCGAAGCCCTTGGATTTGCCGGTTTCGTTGTCGCGGGCGAGCTTCAGAAATACTGGCTCGCCGAATTGGGAGAAGATGGTAATGACGTCGCCTTCGGAGAGTTCGTAAGGGAGTCCGCCAAAGTACACAAAGGCCGTGTCGCGGTAGTCGGCGTGCCAGGATGCATCGGGGGAGCTGCGAGGCTGCAGTCAGCGGGATGCTATTGACGTTGCGACGGAGAAGTGCACTTCGAACTCACATTCCATGCTCTATTTCCTTCTTGTTGAGCGCCTGGATGGCGCGAATCTTGTTCATGGCGACGTCGTTGTGACCTGGCGAGAGGCTGCGGTCGAAGTTGCGGCGAGGCTGAAAGCGACGATCTGCCTGCCAGTGTTTCAGCGCCTTTGGCACTGCAGCATCAGCACCTTGGGGCTTCCATGCAGGTGCCGCGGCGGCGGGTCAATTGCCGGACCGATCGCAGCAAACACGCCAGCGGCGTTGGTTTCAAGCCAGCACCAGGTGCCCACCCGCTTCCCTCCCACCTGGGCACGTTTGGTCCGCTACACCTCCACTGGCGCCCCCGAAGTTAGTGCCTCCCGGCAGCCACTGGACCAGCGACACCCCTGGCGTGTTAGATGAAGGACTGGCATTTTGGTGGAATGTCTGCTCCGTCTCGAGTTGCGTATCTTGTGATGTCCTTGCCCTCGGTCCATGCAACTGCCACCTGCAACTGAAGCCTCGGGCTGATCAGAGACCAACTTTTGTCAACGCCCGCGAGCAAGATGCTCCTACGTCATCCGTAGCTGCACTGAAACCACCAACGGCGAGCCCCTGACGACCGCGACGCGACTTGAGCTCCCCTCGCACGCGTCCGAACCCGAAATCCACCACTTGCTCCTTTGTCCGCGCCCGCGACATCCAGAGCCCCGAAGACGACAGCGCGCACGCAGAGCGGAGAGGGCCCCCCGCGATGTCGGGCAGAAACGAGCGGGTGTCGACGTACACGAGCGGGTCGGGGGAGACGGACGGCCGCAATGGCGAGCCGAAGCGGAACCTATGGACGTCCATGCTAGAGTCGGTCGCGAGCGGGAAGAAGCTGCCAGAGAAGAACCTGCTGGTCCTCGGTAGGCCATGAACCGCGTCGGCATATCGCACGCCCCGCGACCTGGAGGCTGACGGAACAACAGGCGGTACCCCCGAATCGCAGAGAGAGTTTCTCGAGTCGCTCGCAAGCAGCGAGACCAGGCGGCACAACGACAGGCAAAAGTCGCCTCCGATTGCCAACAACTTTGCGCTGGGCTACACATACTACGATGTCCTCGACGCCGACCAGGATGGTACGCGACTGACCCGCGAGTGCTTGACTGGCGAGCGCACCTAGCTGACAGCCAACGGCAGATACCTTGGCCCGCGTCTCCCTCTACCTCCTTTCCCAGCCGTCGACCGAATTCGCGCCCCTCATCTCCCCTCTCCTCACGCCCGAGACGGTGCAGCACACCGCGCTCGTCATACTGCTCGACTGGTCACAGCCGCACATGTGGTTGCGCCAAGTATGGAACTGGATCCAGGTGCTGGAGGAGGTCATGGGCCAGGTCAGCTCCCCGGCCCGCAACGAAATGGAAGCCATCATGTCTTCCTGGAAGGAAAGGGGCCGCGGCGGAGCGACAATAAACCTCGACGGAACACCTTCTGCGACGGGCTCGGCGGGTGACGGCGATGGCCTCTTGCCCCTCGGACCCGGCGAGTGGGCTGAGCCATTGGGTCTTCCCCTCTGCGTTGTCTGCCAGAACGTAAGCGTTCACTCGAGAATACGAGCGGTAAACTCTCGGTGCTGACATCGTCCAGGCTCAAAAGATGGAGTTTCTGGAAAAGAACCAGGGTTGGAAGGAGCCCGACTTTGACACCGTGCTGCAGTATCTTCGAACAGTACTGTTGCGGCGTGAGTTACCTTCGATTCTGAACGCGTCACGTTGCCGCAAGCTGACTTGGTCTAGACGGAGCGTCTCTCATCTACACATCTCAAAACACGCCCTCACAACTGCCAGTCCTCATCCACTCGACCCTCGGCATCACGTCTCTGCTGAAACGACAGCCGCTCAAACACAACGTCATCGACCGCGACAAGATCGTCGTGGCCCCCAACTGGGACTCTTGGGGCAAGATTCGTATCTTAGGCGGCACGTTCGACGCCGAGCTCGTGTCGAGAGGCTGGGAAGAGGACATCAAGCTGCCCCCGGGCTCCAAGGCGCCCACCATGGAAGACGACCAGCCCTCCTCACCCAACGGCGGCAACAGCGCCCGCGGCCCCAGTGCAATCGCCCAGTACGAGTACTGGTGCCGCGACCCCAACAGCGGTGGTCTCGCCGTGGTGGAGAGCGCCATGAGCGACGGCTCAGCGGTGGGAGTGATGAGCGACGACCCGCAAGAGTTCCTCGAGAGGCAGCTCAAGATCCTCGAAGCCTTCAAGGCCAAGGCGCCCGAGACGACGAGCGAGGGGACCCTCTCTTCCTCGACCCGGCGCCTCAACTTTGGGGACGAGAAGAGCGTCAAGGACCACATCGGCCCTGTGCAGTTCAACATGGGCGGCATCCAGGTCGATGCCGACGACATGCTGCAACGCCTCAAGGTACGCCCCCTCTCTTTCTCTGGGGCAAATGCTACAACATGCTAACCATGAATGACAGGACCGCAACGCACACGTTGCTTCGCCAGAGCCCGATGAGCTTGACGAGGATGGCCCCACAACCAACATGGCCAAGGACTTCGACAACGAGCAGCTGCAGAACTTCTTCAGTGGACTTATGAACAGAACGGCTAATGCGGCGGACAGTCCGCGGTCTTGACAGCGCCTGCGATGGCGCCCAAGCTCCGGCCGGGCAGCAGTACAGAGTAGCAGCTTGGCGGATGGCGACCCCTGTACCTAGAATAGATACCCCGAAGGAATACAGAGGCCTCGGTTCTGCCCATGCACACGGTGTTATGCTACAGCGAGATTGGTCTTAAATATTTGCACTTGAGGTACAGCAAACGGGTGACTCCCGTACAAAAAACAAATGCACATTGCTGGTACGATGTTCTGGGCAGAAGGGTGCCCTGGCCAGAACGTGACATGTACGAAGTAGTCTCGACGCTTTATCCGCTCCCACAAACGCCACCAAAATTAGTCTAGGCCTTCTCCCTCGTGGCCTTGTATTTAATGTCTGGCAGCGGGCTGCCCTCTGGAGCGCCCAGCCTTGCTGTTGCGACACCCGCCAACAGTCCCGGGAACAGCCACGGATGCTGCAGAATCTCCGCCTCAAAGGCGTTGACAGTACCCCGAGCCAGCGCAGAGTAGCGCTCGTCATCGAGAAGTGATCCCAAGCGGAAGAGATTCGACGCGGCAATGGCGTTGGTCGAGGGCAAGGAGGTGTCCATGCCATCTTTAAGGCGGAGGATGCTGTGCGGCGACGAGCTCGTTGTGGAGAAGAAGGCGCCGGCTGGGTCATGGAAGAGGTTGACTTGGGTTTCTATGGGTGACAGTCAGTATTCGGGGTCAATCTTTGGTCTCAAGGGACTCCTTTACTTTGTAGCGTATCGGCAAATTCAATGAGACTTTCGTCGCCAGTGGCATCAAATAGGTCAAGCAGACCAAGGATGAGGTACGCGTAGTCGTCGGCGAAGCCCTCCGTGTCGCGTCCCCCCTTCCATATCCTGTAGAGGATCTTGGAGGTGCCGTCCCAAAGGTTCGTGCGGATGAAGCTAGCGGCCGCTCTCGCAGAATTGAGACATTTGTCTGCCAGCTCCGCGTTCGGACCCTTTAGGGCGGTCGCTGCTCTGGCCAGCCCGGAGATTGCCAACCCGTTCCAGCCTGTCACGACCTTTCCATCGAGCTCCGGTCGTACCCGCTCGCGCTCGCGCCTCGACTTGAGTTCCCTCTTCGCCGCTTGGATGTATTGCTCCACGGATTCGACTGGGATGTTGAACTGCTGAGCAAGTTCCTCGGGCCTCTTCACAATTCTCAGGATGTTGTTGTTGATGAAGTCGTCGTTAGGGTCATGGTCCTCGTCCACATTTCCATCTTCCTGGACATCCCAGTAGGCGGCTGCCACCGGGCTGATGTTCTTATCGGCGGCGTCTAGTACCGACTCAAACTCTCGTCTTGTCCAAAGATAATAGGCGCCCTCTCTCTTCTCTCTGTCGCCTCTCCGGTAGTGAGAATCAGCAGCTTCACTTGTGGCAAAGCCGCCGTCCGGCAAAGCGATAGGGGGCGACGTGAGGTACTCGACCAGTTCGGTCACTATATCGTAAAATTCGCTGTTCGTCTGGCCTCCAGCAGCCACCCAAGCGTCGAGATACAGCCTCAGCAGCAAGGCATTGTCAACAACGAGCTTCTCAAAGTTCGGAATGCTCCAGTCCGGCGTGACGGAGCATCGGGCGAATCCTGTCCGCCCGACATGGTCGTGCAAGGCGCCGTCGCGTATTTTGCGCAGGGTATCCACGGCCATTTGCGTGGCATGCTTGCACTCAGCCTCGCCGACGACGTCCTGCACGGCGCTGGGAAACGTGCCGAGCTGCAGCAGGAAAGCCAGCTTGGGGGGCGTCAGAAACTTGGGCGCAAGACCGAAACCTCCATAGACGGGATCAAACGTCCCTGCGATGTGAGTATAGGCCTCCTCCAACTGGTCGAGGTCGAGTTCGCTGGATACAGGGGCATCCTTCTCACGTGGAGCTGGAGCCTGCGACGGTGTCGGCGTAGACCATCCAGGGGGAGCTAGAGGCTGCTGTGTTGTGATGCCTCTGGTGCCGAGCGTGCCTTCAGCTGCGAATTCTCGAAGCTGCGCCACGACCTCAGTCGCCTCCTTCCTGCAACGGGATTCTTGGTCGCGCCAAATGTCCCGGACCTTCTTGAGGATGGTCAGGAAATCGGGAGACTCGTCTTCGTGCTCGGCAGTCGAACGTCGTGATGTTCCAGGCCCAGGCCAGTACGTGCCGCCAAACACTGGCTCTAGCAACGGCGTAACGAACACATTCAGTGGCCATCCTCCGACGTTGCTGACGGCTTGGACGTAGTTCATGTAAATCGTGTCGATGTCTGGGCGCTGCTCACGGTCGACAATGACGGGAATAAAGGCTTCGTTGAGTACGGCGGCGCAGTCGGGGTTTGCGAAGGACTCAATGGCCATAAGGCGACAAACTGTCATGACAATTAGCTTCTACCTTGAAATGGGGGTAGCCGCAGTCGGCGACATACAGTGGCAGGCATTGTAGCCGACGTGAATGAAGATGAGCTTGTTCTCCCTCTTTGCCCGCTCAATTGTCTCAGTATCCAAGAGCTGCCACTTGACCAGACCAGATCCCGCGCTCTGAATGAACGGGCTCTTGCTGGAGCCTGCTCTGTTCTGCAAAGCCGACTGCTGGCTCGGCAGACCTCCTCCCACACCTCCCTCCACGGGGATCGGTCCTCGGGCGACCGCCGACGCTGTGAGTTCGGACACGCCCATCTCGGATCAACTGACTGCCTAGGACGAGCGATTTGGAGCACTCGTCTAGAACGTGGTTCTGCGGCAAGATAAGGCCTAGAGACGGTAGTCAAACGTGATTGCAGCTCACTAGATGACCGGGATTGGGATCTCCGAGGTCACGATGCTGTGTATTGCAATGTTGAAAAACCAGAAATCCTCTCCGCGAAACCCGGGGCGGAAGGAGAGGCGGCTTGATCGCAAACGGCGGAGGCAGGCTGGGCTTGTCAGATGTGGGTTAGTGACGGAAAGTCTGGGGCGTCGGCACCTGTTCTGGAGGTTTAATGTTGCGCCAACCCCGCCATGCGCCGCGGGGCAGTGGCTGGCATTTTTGATTAGGTAATTGAAGGTGGCGCGATTCTGGAATGAATGCGACTTACCCTGGAGCTGGGAGCTCGATCGAGCCGCGTCTGCGCAGCGCTGCGACGGGTCAGGGCACAAAGTATGAGGTTAGCTTCTTGGTTTGCATCAAAGTGTGCTATGAGATGGATACGGTATAGAGTTGTCGCTTGCTTCGTTGCATTATACAAGCGAGTGGGATCAGATCCTATGACCAGTGCTTCCCGATGTCGTGCTCGGCGGTCGCTTGTCCGTGCACGCTGCGCTAATGCAGGGCGCCCTATCGATATGCCGCCCACTCGGGTCCCTGCCTGGCCATGAGCCACTGATGCTAGGCCACGACCTGTGGTGAGCTCCAACGGCCCGCTGATAAGCTGGCTAAGCTCGACTTCCAGCAGCCACCTTCGAACCTCGCTTCTACATCCTCCGTTGTCACGCATCAGTTGGCACGCTTTGGCGAGCCCGCGGAGAGCCAAGACATGGCCGATCCCGTATATACCGTCCTAGTACGGGTGCCCATCCCACGGGGAGACTTTGTTGACCCGCCGCCGGTATGTCCATGCGCCGCCGAGCTTGGCAGGGCCCCATGATGATCCACGAGGCTTGCTGACGTGCCTTTGCAGGTGCACTGGGATTCCGCCAAAGACGACGCTCTGTGGAAGATTCTGTCGGGAGCTGGACAGGATGACATAGACTGTGAGTTCACTGACCCCCGCGCACTACTCAACTGCTGACTCGACCAGGGAACCAAGTGTACGTTCGAACGACAACATAACCGAGTTTAACTAACACCGCGCAGATCGGAGCGGTTCGGTGTACCGGTCGATTTTCTCCTACAGCAAGTCGCCTATCTCACCGAGCGCCATGCGTCACAAGTTCGTGCGCAAGTTAGGAAGGCCACCGCCGCAGCTAAAGGCTCGTCCGCGCCATCACCGGTACCCGGGTCCGAGAACCAACGAACAGCTTCTGCTCTGTCCATGCGTCGCGACTCGCCCATGCCCCGTAACGATGGCAGCAGCGCCTCGGCGACGCCACTCGCTGGCTCCGGCAGACCTGTCATCTCCCGCAACACATCTGCTAATACCAACACCGCTGTGCTGAGGGACGCGAGCGGCTCGTCCCCCCGGCCGCCGAACCTCAGTCGCGCAACGGAGCAGGCAGGGGCTCGGAAGCGCCTTTCATCCCTGCCCATCGGGTCGTCATCAGCTGCCAAGTCACCTGAGCCCTCGACGACGTCCCGAGCCGACCAAGACGGGGCCATGTCCCCGGGCCCTGCTGAGTCCAACTCAACAACATCCTCCGACGAGGACGAGTCGAGTCCAGCGCAGTCCCGCATCATCCGTCGACCGCCCCGGTTTCAGCAGCAAGACGCGACAGAAGCGTACCAAGACGAAGACGAAGACGGCTCCGAGCCGGCCTTCCAGCCATACCAAGCTCAGTCGGGCCAAGCATCTGCACAGGACCTGACGTCGACGCTCAAAGGAGATGGCCATCCAGCTCCCAAGCGTCGACCCAAGGCTGTCGGTCGGGACGCCACACAGCAGTCACAGACGTCTGACTCCTCGGTGGGCTCTGCGCATATACAACGCCCCGGTAAGACTCGGGAGCCAAAAGGCGCAGGCCCGCTGTCTCCTCGTCGAACGGCGGAGCTCGCCGGCCGCAGCCCAGGCGGCAAAGCAAAAGCCAGTTCGCGTGAAGGCAGTGATGGGACTCCTAGCATGGGAAGCAGCTTCAGTGACTTGGATGGTAACGCTCCAAACCCCGCTTATGCCTTTGACACTCACTAACATGCCGTGGCATAGATGCCTCTGTCACCCAGTCGGCACTGGAGGACGCGATTGCCAGTCAAATGAATCGCGGTGCTATCAGCAGTCGCTTTAGCATCAGCGGCGCGTTTCGCAGCCGGTACAATCCGGGTTCCAACCAGTGATGGGCCTTTCGGTGAACTGTACTGTTCTGGCGCCAGCACGCGATCTCATGTTGCCTGTTCTTAGGCAGTGTACGAATTATGAGGGGCATTTGGGCGGCGTTACTATGACAAAGCGAATTCTCTTGAGGGTGCAAACCAGTACGGACGATGCAGTATGGGCTGGACACTAGAAGTCGGCCCCTCATACAGAATCTTAACCCCAAGGTTATTCGGAGTCCTTTGATACAGACAGCAGCGCTTAATGTTTTTCTTGTTTGCCTTCTACTTGCCCTCAACTTGTCCTGTGAATTTTCATCGAGTGATTCCAGCTTGCCTCTCTGGCATAGCAAACAAGAGTGACCAGGGCGACCGACGACTTCGTTTGCACCTGTTCGCACCTGTTCGCACCTTCCTTGAGGCCGCACTTCCTTCTGCGCATCACCTCGAACTCTCCTTTTCTCCCCGTTCTTCCTCCTCAGCTCCTCGCAAGCCAACCGTAACACCCACGGGCTTTTGCGCACGCAAGGAAAACCTCGTGGACAGGCAACATCCCATCATGTTTCGCCGTCAGTGGTCTGGCCTCCCGAAGGACGCCTCATTCTCTCCCGACCTCAAGGCCCTTGGGTGCGGTTCATATCCCGCACATTCCAATTTCGCACGCGCTTACGAGTCTTCAGATATTTCATCAATGGGGATGACGAGATCCGATCAATCGAAGACCCCGACTACTACTTCAAGTTCTTCATCGACCGCAACCCGCGCGTTTGCGCCCGCCAGCGCTTTGACTTCAATCGTACGTGCTCATCATCAAGTTCCTACGAGGCGACCTAGAGACTGATTTGGGTATACACAGAGGCCATGGAGGACGAGATTCATTCCCGGCTCGAGAAACAAGGTCTTCAAAAAGTCCTGCTGCCTCTGGGTGCCACGCTTACCGACCGCCACGTGCCGATTTTCGCGACTCCAGACCTGAAGAGCAAATCTCGCATCGTCGTCATCTTCGGAGAGCCGTCCCAGGACCTAGGGGTCATTGCAGGACGAATCGCCAACGGCCCTGGTGGTATCGACCAAGGCAGCATGGTTTCCGTTGTTCGGAAACTGCAGGCCCAGGATTCGTCGACCACCGACCCCTCCTCTCCGGGCATCGTGATCGCCAACCCTGGCCAGCTATACTGGTGGCCTGAGGGAAAGCGAACCCTTACGGTCACGGCTAGTGATGCGATTCCGCTACCTAGCCTTGTGCACTACGGCCGTGTGCACATGGCTGAGCTGAACAACATCCCCGGAAACGAGAGCCGAGCCAACCATATCCGCTACGTCTGGGACGTAGTCTTGCAGACGATGTCAAACGACGATGCTAAGATCAGCATAATTGCCATCGGCGAGACGTGCGAGACTGTCACAGGATATCTGAACGATGCCAAGAACTGGAATCGCTGGGCCGGCAGGGTCAGCTCTATGCTTCTGCTCGGCCACGTTTATCCCAGTGACAATCTCACGAACGAGTCCTTCAAAGAGTTCCTCGCCAAGGTGAGCAGCTGGCCGATAAGAGAGAAGAGAGAGTGCAACTGAGCTAACAGCGCGACATAGAGAACCCGAGCCTACATCGTTTCGAACGAGCCTCTCGATACAGGACTCGCCACTCCGGATGGCAACCCAGACGAATGCATTCCCAATCTCGGCTGTCCTTGCTACTCGTCCTCGGAGCCATGCTACTCGGAACTGATCGTCATCCGCGCGCTGCCGTCGATTCTCGATTACATGGAGCTCGTTGCGAAGACGCCGAGCTTTGAGAACCCCCCGGTGGACGTGATTGTGCGCCCGCAGGAAGAAGAGGTCGAGGTGGAGGATGAATGGGGCAAGATCCCGGACGAGGAGAAGCCGTCGATTTCGGTGGTGGACCAAGAGCAGATGCTCCAACAAGTGAAAGAGCTTGAGCTGGAGGAGAAGCGCGGAGGGGACTCTGCACATGTTTCGGACTGAGCCAAGAACCCCGACGACTATCGTCGCCTATCGTGGCTATGCCCCAGGCACGCAAACTAGCTAGAACGTGGAGTTGAGGTGACAGATACGTCATAAATGATTCATTTTGCCAGTATTTGACTGTAGGCGCCCAGCCATCATAATGTACAGGATATCCTTACAATGTCAACGTCATATGATAGCCCCCCATCATAATCATGCTTTGATGAAAGTCCAAATGCTTGCCGAGGGCGGCGCCACATCCTCCAGGAGCTCTTTTGTTCTCCTCTTACGCTCCTGCACAACCGCCTCCTCGGCGGCCCACCGGCCTTCAGCATCCTGCGACCCGCTCCAGAACGAGAACACATTGGAGGATACACCGCCGCTCTTCTTAGCCTCCTCCGCCCGTGCTAGCCGGGCCACCATAGTGGACCAATTGTCCAAGCCCGTCGCAAGACACTCTCGGCAGGTCTGCCTGGAGTCCTTGTTGCTCCTGTCCGTGCTGCTGCCCAGCGCGCGCAATTGCTCCTCTGACAAGTCGACACCGTCACGAGTCCAAGCCAGGCCATCGTCGCGCGAACCTGTCGCGTACAGAATCTCGCCGATATACAGGTTTAGCGAGGCCTCTTGGCAGCGCTCATAAGGGCTTCGCCAGGGGGGTTGGGTGCCGTCCGGTGGCGGAGGCGGATAGTCGGGCGGCGAGATGAAGCTGACGACTTGCTGGAAGATGGATTGTCGTGGAGGCTTGGGCGGCGTGGATCGGGGCGGGCTGTCGGAGAGGGATCGTCGGGCTTTAAGCAAGGATACATAGATCGGAAGAGCGGAGGAGAGGTCGCCCTGGCGAGCCTTATGGGTGGCGATTGCGGTGAGGGCGTCGAGAATGTTGAGGGATGGCGGATCAGCGCGGTCTTTGACCACAAATGTTTTAGGGTTATATGGTAACTTCGCGGGTTCGATGCCTTGAGTGGCTTCTGCCAGAGCCAGATTATAGAGCGCCTCAGGGCCATCACCGCGACCCTTGAACTCCATGAAGCTCGCGTACTCTAGGGCAGCATCCATCTTTTGTCGCGCCGACAGGCCCTTGGTCGCCAAGATCTTCATGTAGAAGTTATCGGCAGACGGGTAGGCGATTTCGCAATCTTCCTCGCGGGGCGCGTGCGGGTTGCCGGGGGCGATCGGTTTCGGGCGCGGGTTTGAGGGTCCGATGACGAATTCGGGAGGGGAAACGACGTTGCGGGTGCGGTCGCGTAGCCAACCGTCGACGTGCTCGGCAGCCTTGGCGGCAAGCATGATGGCCTCAAAGTACCCCCTCCTCCAGTCTTCTGACTTGGCCGAGATGTCGCAGCTGTTGAACTCGGCGGGCACCTCGAGCGACGGGTCTTCTGTGTCCGACAGTTTGGAGACATCTTTGCCGTCCAGCTTTGGGTCCTCTAGCCGTGTGACCACTCCCCTCGCCAACTCAAGCGCCCTTGCCCAGTTGACCTCGCCGCTTTTGGGGTCTCGGAAGCCGTTGGCATCTCGCAAGAACTTCCGCGTCAAATAGCCCCAGTCGTGTGGCGTAGGGAAGTCTCGCTCCACAGACTCCTCGTTGACCGCGAAGAGAATCGTCAGCACAGCCGCGGCGACACCCCAAAGGGTGATGGTGTATCGCGCAACGAGCTTGGCCTCGTGCTTCAGCCACCGCCTACGCTCGGATGTGAAGAATCGGACGGGCGCGGAGCTGGTTCTCGGGACGAGGAGAAAGGGGAGGCTAGGGCGGGCCTTGGTGGAGGTGAACTTCGATTGGCTGGCGAATGATCGGGTGGTGAAGAAGAGCTGGGGATGCGTCGGGGCTGCATCAACGAGCCGTTGGCGCCGTACGACGAGTCGGGCGCGCATGGCGGTTGGTGTTCAACGGAGCCGTAGCTCCGAATGAATCTCAATCAAGTTCCGATGGAGCTGTTCGCGGCAGGTCGATGTGGCGAAGGGGGTCAATGGCTTGGATCTAGGGTCGCAAATCGTGATGTCGATGAGGTGTGGTGGTGAAGATGCAGAAAAGGCAGGGTCCAGCAATGACTAATCAGCGCACGCCTCCAACGACGTCAGTCGCCAATTTTCCAACATCAACGCTGCGACAAGCTCTCACCACCAAACTCAGCAATTGGAGCCTACATTCACGGGGCCACCCCCATCTACCGTTGCGAGGATGTCGTCACTCATTTCCGACGCGTTTGCGAACCCCCGCTTCCAATTGCTTGCCACGGCAGTGCTCTCTGGTGCTACGATCGCATCACTCATCCTCGGCTATCAGGCTCTGGAGCGCGAGGAGAGATTGACGGAGCTCAAGAAGTCGATCCCGTCACTGGTGGAAGACGATCATGAGATTCAAAAGGTAATGGCTAGGCGCGGCTCTCAAAAAACGATGCTGGTGCAGATGCTAATGCCTCTTGCAGCTCAACAGCTTCGGGGGCTCCATCGACAGGGAGGACGCGCGAAACCAGGCATTGGCGCGGCGCGCACAGGCTGGCGACTTTGATGAGGAGCTCATATTGGAGCAGCTGGCGAGAAATCGCGTGTTCCTGAAGCCCGAGGGTCTGCAGAAGCTGAGAGAGTCTTTCGTCATCGTGGTTGGGTGCGGCGGTGTCGGCTCTCACTGCGTGGCATCTCTCGCGCGGTCAGGAGTATCCAAGATAAGACTCATCGACTTTGACCAGGTTACGCTGAGCTCCCTGAACCGCCATGCCGTTGCGACGCTTGCGGATGTTGGCATCCCCAAGGTGCAATGTCTTCAGCGGAGGCTGATTGCCATCGCCCCATGGGTCAAGTTTGACCTGCAGCAAGAAAAATTCGACGGCAACGTCGCGGCAAGGATGCTTGGCCCTTGGGAGGAGGATGGGTGCGCCCCGGATTACATCGTGGACGCCATCGACAATATCGAGACTAAAGTGGAGCTGCTCAAGTTCTGCTACGATCACAAACTGCCAGTCATCAGCGCCATGGGGGCTGGGTGCAAGAGCGACCCCACCAGGATAATAGTTGGCGACATCGGATCCAGCCGAGACGACGGGCTTTCCAGGGCGACGAGGAGCAGACTCAAGCTCTTGGGCATCACATCTGGCATCCCGGTCGTCTACTCGACCGAGCAGGCCGGGGAGGGCAAGGCCGAGCTACTTCCGCTGGCCGAAGAAGAGTTCGCCAAAGGCACTGTCGGCGACCTCGGAGTCATGCCCAACTTCCGCGTCCGAATCCTACCCGTGCTTGGCACAATGCCTGCCATCTTCGGCTTGACAGCTGCCAACCACGTCATCCTGAGCATCACTGGCTACCCAATCGACTACGTTCCCGCCAAGGGTCGCGCCAAGATGTACGAGTCGATCCTGAACTACATCCAGGGGTCCGAGGAGAGGATGGCCCGGGCGCAGGAGCCTGGGATAGTGGGCCTGAAGACGCCGCTGACTCTGGGCGACATTGCATTCCTGTCTGAGGAACTGTACCATGCACGGAGCATCGTGAGCGGCATCCCGACGAAACTCGCTCTTGTCCGCTGGCGCAAGCCCGAGGGGCTCAGCTTCAACGTTATCGGGGAAGGAAAAGATGTCCAGAAATGGTCCACCGTTCGCCTTCGCGACCTGGTTTGCATGACGAAAGAAGAGGCAGCCAGACACGAGAAGGAGATCTTCAAGGCGGGCAAAGCGCACGGGGAGGTATACGATCAGGAAACGGTGGACCGTGTCGAGTCGAAGCTCGCCGAGGCAGCCAAGTATGAGGCCTTTAGGTGAGCCCACATTGCCGTTGGACGATGTCAGTGCTGCCTGGGCACTTGCGCCTCGGGAACACGCCCCCATCCGTCGATGACCAACGACTTGACGCAGCGAGCCGCTCGGACTGCGGCTGCCTCGGATGCGGGACCCCATGATGAAATCTCGTCGACGTTGCCCCTTCCAAGCGTCGCCAGACAAATGACGCAACACAGAGGCGCCCCGGATGGCATAGCTGCATGCAAACGAAGTCGCGCTTGCAGACTTGGCTGTAGCGATACATCAATACTGGGAAAGCCCCCATCAAGGTGCAGGAGAGGGCTGCGAGACTTGCTGCCCGACGAGGCTGCGTCGCGACGCATGCTTGTACGATATTGCCTCCCACGCTGCGGAGGCTTGGAGCTGAAGACATGACGAGGCGACCGATGTAGTTAGTCTGCTCGCTTCGGTGGCAGAGACGGGATGAAAGCCACCATCGTGGAGGGTTGGTGCCACGGGACGCCGTGCTCGTGAGACGTATCTGTCTGCACGTGTTTAGAAATGGAAACGACGAACGTCACGCCGGCAGCGGCAAGGCGTTAGGCGGCGTACTGTATGATTGAGGTTTGCACCGCTTGGCTGGATTCTTTGCTGAGCCGTGGCATGCGAGGTCGGGACGTGACTCAAAGTGGTGCCGACAGCTGGTTCACCGCCTCGTGCACGAGGTGCATAAGACAGCGACGCCAAAAAGGCTCCGCTCGTTTGGACAACACGGCGTACATACTACCCTGGTCCTCCCGGCCCCACGATCGTGTTGTCGTCGAGAGCGTTGCCTGCCGAGCGGGCCGGTTGCTGCGGGAGCGGTGAGTCCTATTCCCCTTGACCTTGATCCTTTCTCGGTTTGAAGAAGAGGAAGAACCTGGTCGCCAACAAGCAAGACTCGGGTCGCGGCCGCCACCGCCACACACGCTCGCGCGCGCGCGCGCACCCGCCCGCCCGTCTGCCTGCGACGAGGGACACGGCAAACCATTTGGAAGTATCAGATCCGGTTGGGCGCACCGCGTACCCGCCGGGTAGTGGAGCTCCCGTGGCCCTTGGTTCAAACAGATGCGGCTCGCCTCTTTCTCGAAGGAAGGTTGCCCGCGCACGGCATCCTACTGGTCGCGGACCAAGGGCCTCGGCGAGCCGGTTACTCAATGCGAAGGGGGGAGTGGCGTTGGCTCACAATGCTGCGAGCTTCGCGAGTGGCACAGCACAGCGACAGAATACGTGTACTATCCGCAGTCCTGTGCGCGCCCTGCCTTGCATCCACAGAGCACAAGGGGGCTGCATCCTTCTTCAGGACTCAGGAGTCAGGACATGGGACCGAAGGGGTGACGTTGAGCTGCCGAGGCAGGAAGAAACCCCTCCTACACTCGGGGGGGCGTTCGCCTTGTTTTCGGGTTCTCTGCTCTGCCGGGCACGACTGGCCGCCAAGGCATCCTGCGAAGGGGGTGACACATGGTCTGGACTTGTACATGGGGGGTCCATGGCCGACGGACGCCTGAAGACCCGTGTGCCTTCTGTCTTGATGATTGATCGGCAGGTGGACGCTGAGTGTTGCAGTCACTCGCATTGACTTGGGGAACGCCTTGCGAGGCTGGAGTAGCTTCGTGGCGTGCAAGAGGCCGAAAATGTTGGTTTTGCACGGGTGACAGCAGGAACATTGCAAATGGGGGAGGTACCTTTGGTTTTGAGGTCAGTGCGTCAAGGGGGCGACCCGGGATCATCATACGTATCGTCAATGCCGAGCTTGTAACAAGTATTGCAGGGGCCAGCCAGCACATCAACACAGCGGCACTTACACGCACGCATTCGCTGTCGCGACCAACGTTAATATCCAGTCTTTTGTCATTGCAACCACACTTTATCGCGGGACTCGCGTGTAGATTGGAGGCCCAGTGAAGGCAGTGGTTTGGACTTGGTGTCCACGGACAGCGGCCCAACCCCAAGCAGTATCCTCTGCAATTGGTATCCTTGGTTCATATAGAATTTTAACATGATACAGTACATGAGCTAACAGGAAAATCTTGGTTACGCCATCGAGGAAGCGCTTCCAAACTTTCAAATGGCTCTCGTGAGTGATTTGGAAGCACCACAGACCACAAGTACCGGACACCCTGAAGCTACACCGCAATACTTGGGAGTTTCAAGTATGCATGTCTCTTTTTCCCAGACGCATCTACGTCAGAGCTTCTTGTGATTGCGATTATCAGACGACGGCATCACTGCATGTCGTACGTCGGAAGATGGTGTGTCACATGATCAGATCTCAACGTGGCGGCGTCCAAGTGTGCCATGTCGTCATCACATCAACTCGGACACTGGCGGGAGCGGACATCGGACTCAGTCATAAACGTATGGTCTCACATCGCCTGCAGGCAGGGCGCTAGAATTTTTTCAAAGCTTGTATTCCGTGCATGACGTTCGATACTTGACCGGAATGATGCTAGAACGCCTGCATGGACTCAACTGGTTACGGCAATCGGTGACCGTTGGGTTCGAATGGTCTTACGCTTTGATGCCCAGCCACTCGACCACCTATCTAGAATAGATCTAGAAGCCGAGTCTCACTCGAAAAACTTTTATGAATTCGTTCCAGTACAAATTAGTGCCCTGGTGGCCGGCTTCGTACAACGAATGTAAAATTGGTGTTGCACTTTGTTGCAACGGGAGCGTTCCACGCGTGCCAAATTCGCAGAAACTGAGCAGCCGCATATGTCAACTATAAGCTCTAATAGGACAGTATTTCCGAGTATGCGGTTAGAACGTGCAGAATTGCTTGGAGGGCTGCCCCAATGAGGAAATTAGAGTGCACATGTTAACGCGTGAATGGAGCCATGAGACCCAGAAGGCCACGTCCGGTAAAGCACATCATTCCATGAGGCAGAAGATTCTCCGAGGGAAATACTTTCGGAAAATGACGCCTGATACATGAAGATACAGACGAGATCCATCGCTTGCTGTAGTTGTACTACATCTCGAGACGATTGATCTGCGTCCGCCGTGCTCGGCTCCACACTACAACTGCGCCCATGAGGAAGTCGCACTCCCGCGTACGAAATGAACGTCACGCTAAACATCCACCCAGACAAAGCCCCAGGTCCCCTTGCTACTAGGCGCCTCGTTTTTTTGGGACGTGGCATTGCTGTCACCACTACTTCGATGCCTAAGGCTCCAAATCCGCCGCCTATTGGCGAGACGGCTGAGGAGGAGGCCGCACAATGCGCTAATCAGAGAGCCCTCCTGCATCGTGAATCGGGACCGAAGCCGCCGGTGAGCAGGGGCGTGAGCATGAACGTGCCCGAAATTCATGGCATGTTGGTGTACCGGCGCGGTGTAATATTGGGCGGCGTCTCGTTCCATGCCGCTCTTCACTTCCTTGCCGTGAGGAGAGAAGAGACGACGTCGACGATTCCCCTGACCTGAAATTGCTGGCGAAAATGACGAACCAACCAAGTTGCAAAGTGAGGCAGCCGCGTCGCTGGTATCCGAGAAAATGTCCGTGGGGTTGTAGATGTGGCTGCCTGAGAGAAGTGCTCTCGGCCATCCATCGCCTTGCGACGGGCCGTGACCAAGATTTAAGCGCCTTGCGAAAAGCTATGGCCATGGCCAAGGCCAAGATACGTGGTGACACGCGCGCGCGCCTTGGGACCAGAGCAACTTTCGGGTTTGACTGGACCATGAGAGCGCAAGGCGCAAGAATTGTTGAGGCGAGGTGTTTGAGATGCCGTTGGCATGAATCGAACGTGGGCGGCCCGAGTGGCACGAGGCCGTGTCTGCTGCAAGTCATGGTGAGCCTGGTATGCGAGACGGAGGGTGTGATTAAGAAGACACTTGAGGTCGGGCCAACGACCTAGAGCGAGGCCATTGGGGGGAAGTTGAAGCGATTCAGGACCATGCCGCTGATGCCTAGCAGGCCGGCAGAGAGGTTGCGTATCGTGGAGTGCGGTTGGCCATGGGGGTGGCGGTCGTGGGTAGTTCAACTTTAGTCAGGCAGTGATGTGGCGGGTTGCCAACACTTTCGATGTAGGTCAAGTGGGAAAGCGGAAGGGGACGGGGGATGCGAAGCAACATGAAATGGCTCGCGTCAAGTGCGCGGCCCGTCCCGGTGGGGAGCGAGTGTAAAAGTGAGGCTCAAGGCAGACGACCTCACCCTAGTATGTACCCCGGGTAGCTTGACGGCAAAGTGCAGGTCCCCGGCGCTTCCTCAACGAGGCTCTGGCGGCCGGCATACGAGCTTCAGTGTTGGAGGGAGGGTGCGGACCGGCGGACATGCGGACAATCCCCTGGGCAAGTGCGCACCTTGCTCGGACAGGGCTGATGGTTGCCAGAGTAATATTAACACCCATCCCGTCGGTAGGTATTGTCAGCGGTGCATGCCTGTTTGGGGCTGGCTCCCCCGGCGCAGGTTTGTATTCCTTCGGGGGCGCGCCAGAAGGCGACTTCTTCACTCTTCGGCCGGGCAAAAACAAGGCGTTGGATGACCATGCGACCTACGCGTCCGTGGCAAGCCGGAACGTTGGTCGCCTCGACTTTTCAGCTGTGAAGAGATGGAGTGTATCTCTGTCGACCCATGACCAGGCCAGAGCCATCCATATATCTATATAAACTTGGGCATGGACCTCTACTTGGTGCTGGACCTTGAGAAGCCGCAGTCCCAAGGTTAGATCGTAAACAGAAGCGGCAACACAACTTTCCAGAGTCACATATACACACACATGCTACATCTTTTGAAGCCGCAGGAAAAAACTTTGCCGCTCACCGGGCAGCATCTTCGAGGTGAGTGGACTTGCGCGCGCGCGTATACGAGCGTGGGAGGAGGAGGAGGCGTCGTCGTCGTTGTCGTCGTCGCGCTTCGGCGGGCCCGTGGCGGTGCTGGCGGTGCTTGCGATGGGCGGGCATGCCCAGTGGCGAGCGGTACCGGCCCGTTGCCCTCCAAGACATGCACGCAGACACCCATACCCGGGATGATTGCGTTGGCTGTGGCTCGGTCGAGTCATGTGGGAAGACGGCAATCCTGCGACCTTGCGCAAGCATCGCGGCTTCGCGGCGGCCACAGCCTCCCTCCCCGTCCTATTTATACCTTTTTTTTTTCTTGGGGGCTTGTGCCTGCCTGGCAACGTCATCTTCCGGCACGGCGGCTGACGATGCGTGTTCTTTGTGCAGAGTGAGCTGCAGACGACGACAAAGCATTGGACAACAGTCGAACGGCGACGATCCAGCAAAAGCCCGCCATTGTCACTGCTGCCTACAGGACTCGACTGGCAGCCGCCGCGAGCACGTGACCTCGCGACACACCGAGGCGAGTCGAACAGTCGAACGGTTCGTTCCTCCTCGGCCGACGTGCGTCAAGACGAACGCGGCAGCTGCCGCGTGTGTGTGGATTTTTCCACACTTGCATCTTGCTCGTTTTCTTTCCCATTGGGGCAACGCGCCTGGAGCGGCGTCGTCGGTCGTCACCGAAGTTCAGCAGCCCGTGTCGGGCTCGCGGGCGTGCAAGAATCGATCGCTCGCGTGGGTGGTGGGTGGTGCTTTAGCCAATTCCAGCGCCCCAGTTGAGCCGCAAGGCGTCTGGCGACCTGCAGGCGTCCACGGCGACCCCAGCGGTGGGAACTGAGCTGCGCCCCACACCATCCCGCTTGGTTCAGTGCTGCAGCTACTGCAGCTGCAGCTGCAGCGTGCCCCCCCTGCTGTAGGGCGGCCAGCGAACAAGGGTGTGCTCCGCGGCAGCTCTCAGTACCTTTGCTGTACATCCCACTCGACCTCCAAACCTCCCCGGCGAGGAACTCGACGGCCGCCGACGACGCGCGCCGGCATCAGAGGCCTAATCAACGGCCGACGGGCACGATACCGCTCTGTGCCTGAGTAAGTCGAGCCAGCGCAAGCAATCCGTTCCTCCTCCATCCCATCCCCCTTGGCACGGTCTTGTCCCACCTCTGGTTCGCCTTGCTGTGCGCCGTCGAGCTGCCGCGCACCAACCGCCATTTTGTCCTCCAAAAGGGCGCCGAAAGCTGCTCCCCATTGCCGCTGCGCTTCTCTGCTAATCATCGTCGTCAAACAGCTCGGCACGACCTGGAGCCAGATCCAGATCCAGATCCAGATCCAAGTCCAGATCGAGAGTGCCACACGACGCGACGAGACTTCCCCCTCCCCGCCTGACGCGTCTTCCTGCGACTACCCGTCCTCGAACCAGTCTCGTACGCCGGCTATGGAGCGCTTGACCAAGGGGTGGGTTCACCATTTGCGCAAGACGGCCCGCCAGGAGACGGCTGCCCGGAGCAGCTGCCCCTTCTGCCAGGCCGAGATCCAGGCCGACCTCGACTCCTTCAAAGTCCACGTCCGCGGGGAGCATCCCACCCTGTCCGATGACGCCGACATCGAGGAGGCCTTTAAGAATGTCACAATACAAAGTCCCCAGTAAGCGCCCACGCCGCCCCGACGTGCCGTGCTGTTGTCATGTCAAAGTGCTCCTGTGGTGTTGACTGGGCATGTGCAGATCACACCCTGCAGCCCGGTCCCCGGAGGCCACCGGCCCCGGCAGACCAACCAGGAAGCGACCCGTCCCCGGTGCTCCGGTCCCCGTGGACCGCGCCGACGGCCTGGACCGGCAGGAGGATCCCGAGGACCAATCCGAGGGCTACCAGCGTCGCAGCAACAAGAAGCTCTGCTCTCCGCCAGCCTCGGTGGCCCAGCTCCGCGGCTCCTCCCCACCCACCCCGGGCCGCAGCCGCGCCAGGCCCAGTGACTCGAGTGACTTCAACCGCAGCTTCGCATCCAAGCACCACCGCCCAACCACTCGCCACCTCTACAACCCTGACGATGACGCACGGCCAAAGACGCCACAGCCCAGGCACTCCCAGCTCGCCTCCAACCACTCACGGCGCTCGCCGCAGACCAAGACTCTGCGAGGGCCCCAACGGGACTACGGCTCACCCGTGGAGCCTGCTTCGGTGACTGAGATGATAAGGCAGCCAGAGACAAGGCCCATCTCCCCCGAGCAGCTGGTCGCCGAGGTTAAGGGTATCTACGCCGGCCTGGTCATGATTGAGTCAAAGTGCATCGAGTATGACAGCACACAAGAGACGAAACAACTCAGTCAAGAACAATATCAAGCTCTCATCGCCTTACATAGATCAGTGCTGCACGAGCACCACGACTTCTTCCTGGCGAGCCAGCATCCGTCTGCTAGCGAAGCCTTGCGTCGTCTCGCTTCGAAATACGCCATGCCGGCGAGAATGTGGCGCCACGGCATCCATTCCTTTTTGGAACTTCTTCGGCATAAGCTCCCGGAGTCGCTGGAGCATATGCTGACCTTTATTTACATCGCCTACAGCATGATGGCACTGTTGTACGAGACGGTGCCGGCATTTGAAGATACGTGGATAGAATGCCTCGGCGACCTTGGTAGGTATCGGATGGCTATCGAGGATGATGATATTCGAGATAGGGAGACGTGGACAGGCGTTTCGAGATATTGGTACAGCAAAGCCTCTGACAAATCGCCCACAACTGGCCGCCTCTACCATCACCTTGCGATTCTGGCGCGGCCGAATGCGCTGCAGCAGTTGTACTTCTATGCCAAGTCGCTTTGCGTGCCTATCCCGTTCCCGAGCGCGCGAGAAAGCGTCATGACGCTCTTTGATCCTCTTTTGAGCGGCGGAAACCAGCGGCTTGGCCCCGTAGATGCCGCTTTTGTGCGCGTGCACGGCATCTTCTTCTCTGGAAAATCAAAGGAGCAGCTAGAGGGCTCTATGGATGAGTTCCTACTCCTCCTTGACGGCCATATCCACAGCAATCACTCCGATTGGCTTGAAGCGGGGTGAGATGAGTCGTACCTGGCATACACGCGCCAGTTATGTACTAACAGGCGGTTAGGTACTATGTGGGCATTTCTCTTTGCTGCTTGTTATTGGGTTTCGGCGCAGAATCAAACGTCCTGATGAGGGCGCTAACGGAGCAGCAAAACGACGAGGAAGCAGACGATGGTTCTGTGACGGAACCCGAGTTGGAATCCGTCGACGAAAACTTCGAGCAAGCGTTGTCTTTTGCTGCCCGGACACAGGAGATTGTCCTGCGGAGATGGGGTGATAAGAACACCCTAAGCTGCATTCACACCACGCTGGTCTTCATGTTGCGCATGTCGCGGCTCCCAACCGCCATGTCCCGCCTTGAAGACCGGTATCCTTGGAAGCTTACTTCCATCATGCTCAACTACCTACTGAAGACGATAAAGACGGAGCCGAGGGTCGATACGGATAAACTACCGGGCCCGGAGAAGGGTGAGGCGCCTATTCCCCTGCCAGAGGACTACGCGCTCCGCGGGCTTCTTTTCGCCGAGGACTTTTTCCCTAATGGCTGGTTCGACAACGAGAGACTCGACGAGACGGACCGGTACCTGGAGGCGGGCTCCAAGACCGTGGAGAGACAGGAGCGCATCCTCTGGATCGGGCGCAGGATCGCCAACGCAGGCAAGTGGTTGACGTGGGACGCCGAGGCTCGCCAGTTTGGCGTGACCTCGAAGTATGATGTTGAGCTGGATGGGCTGCCTGACGAGACGCGGGGCGCAGGCGGCCTCATCGCTGTCGACCCCGGACCCGCGCCGCTGGAAATGGAGGTCGACGACGAAAGAGGCACCTGACAACGGTGATTCTCCTTTTCGTCGTCGCCGGCGCCGAGCCTCCGGCTCTTGTCTCCCCCACGGCGAGACGGGGGCTGGGGACAGCTACCCCGACGTAAGTATCGAAAATGCCGGACCTGGCGGCGATCCCAGTCGGCCCAAGCACCAGCTGGGCCACTGCATGGACAATACGACGCTTCACCATAGTCGCTCTCGGCTCACGAACTCCTTCTGCGGCGCGGTGGCAGCGTCACGAGCAGGAGGGATCTACGTTCGTGGAGGCCATTTGAATACGTTTTAATGGGGAGAGGGGGGGAAGACAGCAGCACACAATCAAGCCAAACCCACTGGCTGCTGTCTGCGACTGGAGCTACGCCGTCACTGCCACACGGCCAGAGTGCCACCGTCCACTATTATCGTGCTTCGCCGGGGCGCCGGCGAACCGTGTGCCGATGCTGCCAAGTATCAAGATTGACCAGCTAGAGAATTCCCTTTGTCCAGCGTGTGTTCCTTTTTGAGGGGAGAGGGGGACATTCAACAGTGAGCAATGGGGAAGGGCCCGGGTGTGTCGTCCGTACGCGATGCTGCCCCTTGGGCTTCTGATGCGCTGCGAGGCTGCGTCGGAGCCGAGCCGAGTGTTTGCTAGTAACCCGCTTTGCTTTTGGACACGAATTGCTTGGTGCTCGCAATCAAGCCGATAAGACTGTGTGACCATCCTGGCTCTGTTCTCAGTCAGCGGCGCAGTCATTCACACCTGGCTTCAGACAACAAAGGCGCAGCCAATGACATTTTGCGGGGTTGAGCCCTCAGCAACTTGGCGCGCGGCCCATTGCAGTTGGCCAACCGGGCGGCCTGCCTTGCATGAGCTTCCTGACACACGCAGCTTTGGCTGCATGTGCGCTGTACAATCTACGAATAGAGAAAAGACAATACACTTGATTGAAAGTGCGGCTGATTGCCCCGGTATGTCGTTGAAAGCGGGGTTTGCACTTTGGGACTGATCTGCATGTCGCCAGAATGTGTACCAGCCACACCGTAGTCGTCTCGTGGCCAGACGGGGGACTGGCCACGAGATGGCAGGGAAAGCTGTCGGACTTGCGCACGTGTACTTGTGGTCCTTTGAGCCATGTGCGCTGTGCACTCCCACCCCTGCTGCGCGCTGGCAAGCACAATGGCGTGTGCTTTGCTTCTTTCCCAGAAATGTGGTTCGCCCAAAAGTCGGTGTAATTCTACCGCGCACCATTGGGCGCCAGACGCCTCACCGGGGTTGAGACTCTGGTGCTGGAATGGGGGCATGCTCGAATGTGAGGGTCGGGCGAGCACGAGGCAACAGGGCGGATCTGGGGAGCTGAGGCTGAGGGAACGGTGTCACGGGCGCGAATCATGGCCTGGAAGTGCAAGGGCCGTCGGCGGCAATTGAATGGTGGATGTTTGCTGCTTCCCAGGCGCCTAGAGAAGCTGAGGACCGGCGTCAGTTTGTTGCATCGAGGTTCAATGAATTGGAAGCGTCGGCATCAGTTCGAAACGGCACTCCGCCGAGCCGGCGTTTCGCACCGCCTAGTTTATATCAGCATCGACGATGAGCCGGAATTCGTTGAGGCTCAACCAAGGCTCTCGCCCCCATGCACGACACCATGCCCTCCATTCGCTAGTTCAGCATGCTCGCGCAGGTGGCGTTCTGCGTGGCAGTCCGTGCGGCCCGCTCCATGAACTGGTTGCACACGACGGAGGCCCTGCAAGGCAACCGCCCCAAGCCAACTCCGACAAATCAGAAGTCCGGTGTCGTCCAAAGCGGCGAAATGGCGCTGACCCGAGGAGACCCCCATTCCTCGTAGGCACCATCCTGAGCGTCGGGAACTGGCGGAATGCGCACATGAGCCGCGCGTGGTGTGACGCGACGATACTCAATTTGCTGGCCAGCTGCTTGCTTTGCTGCAAAGGCGAGGCGGAGCACCTGAACGCATGGAGCGATCGGTACTGCGACGATGGTTAGAGCGAATCGAAGGGCAATCAGATGGCATCATCGTATGCCCATTGCTGCACGTTTGTCAACGTGGCCGCCTTGTCTCGTCTCATGGCGATGCGGCCCACAGCCAAACAACACGCAGGTGGCAGGTTGGCCGGTCAGTTGCTGCGTCGGCGGCCGGATCCGGCGAGGCTGCATTGCTGCGCCCCTGAGATTACTCGGATGTGGTCGGACGAAGCAAAGAAAGGCGTTTCGAAGCTGCAACTGTGCTCAGATGTTCGAGCGTTGGCGTGGGGGTTGTTGATGGAAGAGGAAGCGCTCGGTGATGCCGTCGACCCTCGGTGCACGGATTCGGCATGAGCTCGCTTGCCCATGCCGACCTGGGAAGTGGACGACTATGTGATCCTGCCAGAATTGGCTCGTGCGAGGGAAGGTGCTGCCGCCTCAGAACGCAAGCCCTGCCTGTTTCGGGCGCGCACTGGATACCGAGGAAGTCGCGAACGCGCAGGGCAGATCGACCCGGGCAGGCACGACCGGCTTGATCTGGGATGATAGGGCAGCCCGGACGCGAGCGAGACTTCCGCGGCAGGAGCGAGCGCACTGACCAGTGCGGAGTGCAGCGCGACTGCCTCGCCGGGACCCAGCCAAGTTCCAAGTTTGGGGGCCGTCGCCTGCCAATACTTCGCACGTTGACCTCAAGTCAGGGCCTCGGACCCTGAGACCGGGCAAGCGCTGGAGCGTGCTTATCTTACTGTCCGGCTTCACGAGGGCCCGGCGGACGAGAGGCAACCCATCAGCTGCGTGAGCGGCATGTGCCAGTCTGCCGGTAGAGGACAGGGATTGCGGTGGTCAGACAGCTGCTGCGGACTCTTTCGTCTGGTCAAATCGTTTCGGAGGCGTCGGGGGTTGCAATGGCAGGTGACCAGCAACCTACCGTTGCTATGTTCGGAACCGCATTCAAGCGTCTGTGCGCGAACCCTTTGGCTGCCATCCGCCGCCTGCATGGCCTCAACACGGGCGATGCCGTGTTTATGCCGTGTCGTGGCCTGTCGTGTCAACCCCCAAAGCTCCTCTGTGGGCTGAAACTGCACATCAAAGCTGCCTCTGCCACTTCCTTGCACCGTCGCCCTGCCCGCATGCGACCCTGCTCCGCCGCGTTACCCGGGCCGTCGGAGCCTCGGACAGGCATCGTGTCATGCCAGACGAGCACATGAGCCAAGAACGGTCGGCACAATGACTCGGGACTCAAAGAGTGATGCGGACTCGAGACTCAATGGGTCGCGTTCAACAGAAAGGCAAACTGCGCGAGCCCTGCGGTGCACCCACCCCACGCGCAAGGGCGACGTCACATCCTCGCTCGCAGACACATCCGTCCGTCAGCCTTTCGTCAAGCCAGGGTACCGGCGAGGTACTTCCGGCGCCACCGTTGCACAGGACCCCGAACCATGCAGCTGCGGCTCGGCGCAAGGAGGGGTGGGGTGGAAATTCTCTGGAAGAGTGAGCTCGTGGTTCAGGGACGAAAGTTGAACCGGCTGCAGGGGCTCCCTTGCTCCCCCAGCTGACCCGCAACAGGTGTTGGGGGTATTTAAGGCAGAGAGCTTGGCTTTCGTATGAACCGTTTCATACCGAAAACAGGAGCTTCCGCATTGCAATAGAACATTCGACGCTCCACCGGACGTATCGGATGTAAGTTGTCCGCTGACAAACTTGCTCCTTCGTCTGCAGTGACCCAGGGGCCAGTTCCGTACCGTGAAACCCTTTGTGTAGCCTCAAGTCGAGACACAGAATGTCATTGACAGGGCCGAGATGGATCGTTCAACCTGGAACACGGCAACTGCACTACTGAGCTGATCGGCGCTACCAGAGACGGCCGACAAGGCAACCAATACTTCCAGCCCTATAATCTGTTTTGTTCTTCGTCATGCGACCTGTCTTTCCGTCGCAGCAACCCGGACGTTAAACCCCGCCCGATATCGTTGGAATCCACGGGGCTGATGTGATGATACTCCCGGGTGTGTGAGTACGCCGGGATTCGAACCTCGTGTCCTGTCGTTGCCGTGTCATCGGGTAAAGTGAAATCATTGAGGAAACTAAATTGCAGAATGCTGCTGTGCCAGTCTCTATTGGCCCGATCCATTCAACGGTGTGTGGTAGATCTGCTGCCTTCAGGCAGAGGTGCTGCTGGAGGGGCCAACCGGGCTTGACCGGTAACGATGCAGATGCACCCTAACAATCTGCAGGTCAAGAGCGGTCCGCTCACTGAACCGGATTGCGTGCAGCGGATGCTTCCGGTCTGTCATATGTGAGCCGCTTCCTCGGGGTCGCGCGCGATGCCTCGTTGGCCTGCAGTCTGGTCACCACGTTGCACCAGCAATCTCCAAGCCGCTATGCGCATGCAGACAGACCTAGCTGCTATGCGGCTGGCGCCCTGCGGCCCGATAAGGCCAGATGATTGTGACGGGCACTCGACGTCGGGACTGAAGGGACGGAACGCAGGGCTTGCGGCTGTGACGTGACAGGCGGCTAGTGAGGCGACTGGGGCCGCGGGAACGGGCCGCTCGATGATGTGTCCACCGATGACGGTGAACGCCCTGACAAGACCAGAGGGTGGTAAACACCGCCAATGAGGCTCCGAGCTCGGTGACTTTTGGCCGTTGCCGCCCAAGCTATAATCCATTGGGTCTCACCGGGATCTCTATCATCTTGACAGGTGACGAGGACAGCGCGATCATCCAATTATCGAAGCTACGAAAGCCTTGGAATCAAATGTCATGATGAATTATCCACAGCATTCCGGATGCAGATGCTGTGCGAAGTAGCTTTCTCGATGTGTCGTCTCTGGTGACCTCATTCCGAGGCCATAATTGCATGAAACTGAGGTGTCAGCAATGCCCGACGCGCAATAGCGTGTGTTCTAATGTCGGTCTGCTCAAATCTCCAGATTTTGGGCTCTGAGGCTTCTCTTCTCTTGAAGGAGAAGGTAGCTGGCGGATGAGAGGCTCTTCAATCAATCGAGGGCGAAGGAGGGAAGGGGAAACCACAGTATAGGGAGTCGTGAAGACTCAAGTCTCTCTGGACTCCGCACTCGAAAGACAACAGGCTCTGGTACGCAGTGATGAACGATGGTGGTCCAAGTCAATTATGCTATCGGATGAGAACAATGAGATCATGCAATCATTGCCACCATTTGAAAGAGGCTGAGTAAAGCAGGGGGTTAAGTCTTATTCTCTGATATGCGCAATGTCTTCGTATCAAGAGCTTTGGAGACCTTGAGTGCTACTTGGAAGCCATTATCTTGAGACCTACTCCGTAAGAGGTGAGGCTTCAAACCAAAACCGTCCCCCTAGATGTAGTTCTATTTTGCCGTCATATTTCGGAGAGGCGCGTAGTCCTCCAACACGCGCGTCATCGCGTTAAAAGTCGAGTTGCGTTCCAAGCTCAGGTACAGGTCCGAGCCGATGTTGAAGCTCCCCCAGGCTGTCCACCCATACCACACATCACTGTTGCGGTCCAAGAACGCCAGCAGGCGACTCACCAGCTGCGCGCACTGCGGGAACGGCCCGCCGCCAAACTCAGTCAGAAGTGCGCGGTATCCGGTCCTTCGCAAGAGCGCCGTCACCTCCTCAAAGCGTTGCACGTACCCAGCCCACGGCTCGCACATGCCGTATGCACCGCCCAAGTCGTCGAAGTACTGATGGAAGTCGTACATGGTGCGGTGAGCCGGGTCCTGAAGAAGGCCGGGACCGAGGGCCGGCATGGAGAAGGATTGCCAGTCGACAAGTCGCGCAAATTGTGTGCCGGAGACGAGAATGGTGTGCTTCGTGGTGACGGTGCGGATGGCCAGGATGGCCTCTTGGGTTGTGTCCGCCCATTTGTCAATGTCGAGATCGTGGGCTGGGATGCTCAGGGGTTAAACTTGACTCGAACAGTTCTTGAATTGGGCAATTGTTCACTCACGTTCATTCATGAGCTGAAAAATGACATTTGGGTTTGACTTGTATCGAGCCGCAAGTCTGACCCAGAGATCTGAAAAGTGTGCGTTGGTGACGTTGACAGTTGGGTTGAGGAACGATCGTTCAGGTTGACCGATTACGGCACAGTACCACCGCGCATAGTTGTGCTTCAAGTATCCATTCAGTCAGAAGCCATCAAAAACTCAGCGCAGCGCATATCCCTAGACTCACAATGTCAATGATGGCCTGGCCGCCGTCACCGGTAATGGCCTCGATCAACTTGTCGACGCCGCGCATATTCGTCTCGTTGAGACTCCCGCCCAGCTCTGTCTGAGCATGCTGCCATGCTATGGCAATGCGAAAGAGGTTGAAGCCACGGTCACGCCAGGACTTGTAGTGTGAGACGTCGTCGATGTATGGGTAGCTTGTGTTGGTCGGATGACAGGCGGTGCTAACAAAGGGATTGAAGGCGGAACCAAGAATACTGATGTCATTGGCAAGGCCAAAAAGGTTGACCCTATTGAATGCGCGGTTAGCGATTAGAAACTGCGAAAAGTTGGAAGTCGCACCCAGCCCATTGAACTCGGCCAGCCTTTGCCAGCCCAGCCCAAGGCACGGCCATCAACGTGGGGCAGAACTTCATAGTGAACACTGGCGAGAGACCGCGAGGAACGAAAATTTTGAGAACGCACAGCTGAAAGCACCATCTCTGCCGCAAGATATGCCATTTTATATTCTGATGCTATGTTGGTACACGAGAATCGTGAACCGTCTGAGCGCGCACCTCGCAGTTGAAAGCCCAGTGTGGTTAGGCTCGGGTCGGCAGTCGCTCATCCGTCTCACTAACAAAGCCCACGCCAGGGACTCACTTCGCGCACCCAAGCCTATTAAGGCGATGACCCACGGACGCCCACCGTGACTGATCCGCAGCGCGTTCACAGCGTGTAGGGACACTCGTCTGTTCGGTGAGAGCTCTTTGGATTGTCGCTTACATATCCAGCGAGACTGAATGCTCAGTAGCATCGACTCTATCGAAGCACCCGCGCAGGATCGACCGCAGCTCCGGCGAACCGAACCCGAGAGAGTTTGCGTGGTCCGCGGGAGCCGGATGGGGCGCCCGGCCTGGCGCCGGCTGTCCGACAAACAGCGGGCCGGGTCCGGGAGTACTTTGCCACACCCGCGCCGGCCGCAAGGTGCAGTTAAAGACGAGCGAATGTCGCTCGCGATTCCACAAACCCGAGAGCTCCTCTACGTGTTTGATTCGTTGTGAACTGCAGCAACTGTTGCGCGAGTTTCCGACTAGGGAGCAAATTGAGATATCACAAGTTCAACTCCATTCATTTGACGTTTGGGTCTCGAGTCATTGTCTCGGGCTTTCGGTGGCTCGGTCGATCAAGCTCCAGCCAAGCCATGGTCCGGCTCTTGGCACCGTCAACTTGCGCCGCTGCCACGCTTCGACTGTCGAGCATCGGCCGACTCTGTCACGCTACCCAAGAACTTGGAAGCTTCTTGCCAGGACAACTGCCGACTCATCAATTGTGAGCGTCCGACACGCACAGATGGTCTACGTCGACCTTCACCCCGCCGTTGGTTCCCGCGATTGCCGGAATGAATGTCGCCGCAGCCATGCAAGACTCGTTAGCCTATCTCCCGGCCTTCACCGTTCAGGTAGAGCTTCACCCGTCCAAGCCATCTGATAACCACGCCACCAGCGAGCCCGCTCCATGTCGTCATGACTCAACAGCGCATCCACTGCCATGGCTACCGCTACTCCACCTGGCCGGCTGTCTTCAAGTATAATATACTCAAACAGTATCTTCAGTGTGCCATCTGTCTCAACGGCGTATCATGATTTGTCTCGCCATTGATGGCTGACTCTGCCCTCCACAACACCAAGCACTATGGCTACAACAACCTCACAACCTGTCACAGGCCAGGGCCACATCTCTGGTCAGTCCAACAAACCCATGTCGCGGCCGGCGCACAGTCTGACGAGCGACGATGTCGTCCGCGAGCTACAGGGCGACTCCGTTCGAGGGCTGTGGCCCGAGGAGGCCACACGTAGGATCACTGAGTTCGGGCGCAACGAGTTGACGAAGCAAAAGCCAGTCCAACCTCTGACTATTCTTCTCGAACAAATCTTCAACGCAATGACTTTGGTATGTCGGTAGACGTTTGCACAAGGTGTCAAACTTCTTGAGGCTAACACGCCGCCAAAGGTTCTCATTCTTGCCTTGGCCGCCAGCTTCGCAATAAAGGCATGGATAGAAGGAGCCCTCCTCGGCACTATTATATTATTCAACATTGTCACCGGTTTCATTCAGAGCCTTCAGGCCGAGAGGACCATTGCGTCACTGCGCACTCTTAGCTCCCCCACCTGTAACGTCTTCCGAAACGGGGACACTGTTCGCATTCAAACGGCCGAGGTTGTCCCCGGCGACATTATCGATCTTCAGACGGGCGATACTGTGCCAGCCGATATGCGCCTAATAGATGCCGTGAATTTGGAAGCCGACGAGGCCCTTCTTACTGGCGAATCTGTACCCATTCTCAAGAGTCCTAGGGTAACTTTTGATGAAGACACTGGGCCCGCCGACCGCCTGAACATTGTCTATAGCTCGACTACCATCACCAAGGGTCGTGGCCGTGGAATAGTGTTTGCCACAGGCATGTTTACCGAAATCGGTGCCATCGCAAGCGCTCTAAACGGCGGCGACGAAGACAGGGCCGACAACAGAGGGTCGGTTTTGAAGCGAGCGTGGAAAAGATCGGTCCAATGGCTAAGTGACTTCCTTGGCCTCGCCAAGGGCACCCCGCTACAACGAAAGCTTTCTCAACTCTTCTGTTGGCTGTTCGGGTTCGCGATTGCCTGTGGTATTATCGTCCTCGCCGCCAACAAGTTCAACGCCAGTCAAGATGTCATTCTTTACGCGGTTACGACTGCCATCGGCACCATACCTGTCTCGCTTCTACTCGCCCTGACTGTCTCTTTGGCTGCGGGCGCCAGAGCCATGGTAGACAGACATGTCATTGTCCGAAACATGTCTAGCTTGGAGGCGCTGGGTGGCGTAACGAACATCTGCTCCGACAAGACTGGCACGATAACGATGGGCAAGATGATTGCAAGGAAGGCCTGGATTCCCGGATGCGGCACATTCTCTGTCAATTCAGGCAACGAGGTATACAACCCGACGACGGGAGAAGTTTCGCATAACGTCATGGAGCCCAAAGACATGCAAAGGGAAGACACAAGCCAGTCGGCGGCAGTCACTCCCGCTGACGAGGTGAAGTCCAACGTCCCACTCCAGTGGTATCTCACGATTTCGTCCCTCGCCAATCTTGCAACATCAGAGAGCGTCGAGGGTCACTCGGAGAAGGCTGGCATGACATGGAAAGCAAAGGGTGCGCCAACTGAGATTGCAATGGCTGTCTTCGCTTCTCGCTTCGGATGGAACCGCGCACAGCTTAGCCAGGGACCTCACGCACAGTGGTCGTCGATTGCCGAATTTCCTTTCGACTCGGATGTAAAGAAGATGTCCGTCGTGTTCCGGGATACCAAGTCACAACAGGCTCACGTCTTTACAAAGGTATGGGAATTGGCTGAGGATGCGAGAACATTGTATCGCTAACAAACCGCAGGGAGCTGTGGAACATTTGTTGAGCAGTTGTGACCGCATCGCCGTGGGAGAGGATATAAAGGCTCTGGCCGATGCGGACAAGGCCAACGTTATCGCAAACATGGAAGCCCTTGCAAGTCAGGGGCTTCGAGTTCTCGCCTTGGCCCATCGAGAGTACGAGGACAACATTTGTGAAGTGGACTTCTTGCCCAGAGGCACAGCACCTAGCCGAGAACTGTTTGAGCGCAATCTCATCTTTCGAGGACTCATTGGGATTTACGACCCCCCTCGCCCTGAATCGCTCCTCAGTGTGCGCATGTGCCAACGCGCCGGCATCGTTGTTCACATGCTCACGGGTGATCATCCACAGACAGCGCGCGCGATCGCGGCGGACGTCGGTATCCTACCGTCACCTGAAAAGATGCGTGTTCTTCCGATCAAAGTCACAGACTCAATAATGATGACGGCAACTCAATTTGACGCCCTATCGGATAGCAAAATAGACGATCTACCGCAGCTACCATTGGTTGTAGCCCGGTGCACGCCATCGACGAAAGCACGCATGATCGAAGCTCTTCACCGCCGAAATAGATACGTGGCAATGACTGGCGACGGAGTCAATGACAGCCCTAGCCTAAAGCGTGCGGACATTGGCATCGCTATGGGCACCGGGTCAGATGTCGCCAAGTCGTCATCCGATATTGTGCTGCTCGATGACAACTTTGGTTCAATCTTGAACGCAATCGAGGAGGGCCGTCGAATCTTCGACAACATCCAGAAGTTCATCTTACACATCCTTGCCGCTAACATCGGCTTCGTTATTGCGCTTCTCACGGGCCTGGCTTTCCAGGATGACTCGGGCATCTCGGTATTTATGCTCACGCCGGTCGAGATCCTTTTCTTGTTGATGGGTACTGGCGCCTTCTGTGAAACAGGACTGGGCTTCGAGAAAGGTGTCCCCGACATCCTGAACCGTCCCCCTCACGACGTACGTGTTCTATCTCTCATGAGAAAAGGGTACCTACAAACTTTTGACAGATAAAATACGGCATCTTTAGTCCAGAGCTGATCCTCGACATGGTCGTTTATGGTATCCTCATGGCGATTTGTATGATAGGCCCGTTTACCGTTGTCATCTTTGGCTTCGGGAGCGGCGACCTCGGCTTCGAATGCAACCATAAATATTCGGACTCGTGTGACACGGTATTTCGCGCCCGAGCAACCTGCTATACTGCTATTACATGGGTCTTTCTTTTCTACACTTGGGTCGTCGTCGATTTGCGCCGCTCCTTCTTCTACATGCCAAAGGGCCTCCGCGTGTGGGGACGACACCTTTGGGAGAACCGGTTCCTGTTTTGGTCCATCGTCGGCGTCTTTCTTGTCACCTTTGCCACGCTGTATATTCCGGTTCTGAACCGCGACGTGTTCTTGCACTCTGGAATGAGCTGGGAGTGGGGGGTCGTCGCTATCGCGTTTGGCATCTTTGTAGCCGGCGTGGAGACGTGGAAATGGGCAAAGCGGGTTTACAGTAGGAGGCGGGCGCCTGCGCAGCAGGTAGACTGGACTTGTGAAGCAGGGATTGCCACGGCCAACAAGATCTAACTGCGATTTCACTTGCTAAGTAGCGTTCATGGACTACATAGCTCTTTTGGCCAAGTCATGGTGAAACACGGTGAAACCGCCCATACCTTTGCGCTGCTCCATGCAAGACGAATACTGCTCTTCGAAAGGGCCAAAGGCCGTCAAGAGCACTCTATTCTGAAGAAGCTTACATCAATTCAGGCCACTTCCAGGCCAACGACTGTATCATAAGTACATGCATCAATTCAGCTTTCCAGAAGTCCGACTAGAAGTTATATACATTCCCCTGCATGATCCGAGCTCCATTTCCGAACGTATTCCCATAAATGACTCGCCCACCACCTGGACGGTCGTCATCCCGATGAGCTTGGTACAGTTAGCAGCCACTCATGGACCTGGGACTTCGATGCACAACGTACTGTTATCTTGGCCTGGAGGTGCCGACGCCGTTGCGCCGTCTTCGGAGGGAACATGCCGCTCCAGGATGGCCCGAGTCACGCATGCCGCAGTAGCTGCCGCAAAGTTTTGCCATCGCTTGTCCTTGTGGCTATCGGAGTAGTCGCAAATGCCCTTGACGACGATAGATGGAATCTCCTCCCATACCCCCGCCCCTTCCATCTCAAAGGCTATGCAGCCATGCGCTTGAGCGATGCGATCGCGATCTCGGCCCGACTTCATCACCGCGTTCCCCGACCCAATGCACCCGACCAAGATGTTCGGCTCGTATTGGTCCTCGTCCAGATGGTGCTCTCTTCGAACCAATCGAGACTCGTCGCAGGCTAGGTCATTGCACAGTGCCTGCGAAGCCGACTCACAGAATGGAGCGGGCTCTTTAGCACACAGCCCACAAGCACTGTGGTGCTCATGGACATAGTCTCTGTCAAACAGCCGATCTTGCGCAACACCGGGGTATCCATAGTCTCTGCGCCACCGCTTGCGAAGCGCGGCAGCCTGTAAGGTGTTCAGATGTTTTCCGGCTTGAGCTTGCAGCCGCTCTCTGTTGATCTCCATCTCCAGGCTAGCGAGAATGCTCCGAATGTTTTTGCTTGCTCGGCCTAGGCTGTCGTTCACGGAAGTCTTGACCTGGAAACTCTCCGGGTACTGCCTCCCGTAGTCGTATTGCACGATTGATCTGCTCACAACGACGTCGCCTAGGAACACATCCTGTCCGGCGACCTCGGGCACCCCGCCGCAGATACCTACGAGGAATATGAGCTTGAGGCCACTGTAGCTCGAGCGAAAACTTGCTGCCGCTGCCGCTGCGGCCGATGTACCGATATTCGGCAGAACGACGAGGACGACATCGTGCTGCCCGATGCGTCCGGCTGTGTATGCGTTGGTGTCTCCGACAGCACGACCAAGGGGCGCTTCGCCGCCATCGTCCCAGAAACAGTCGAACAGAAGGGCAATGGCATCCGCTTCGTGTGGCAGTGCGCAGACGATGCCTACATGAATGTCATGTCGCACAGCTGGCCTCGGGTGCGAAGTCATGGTGGGAGATCGTTGCTGTCAAGGTGACGGAGATTTCGCTTGACTCGAGCTTGATCGCGTTGCGCAAAACCGGATGATAAACAAAAAGTGCAAAATAGGCAAAGAAAACCATGGTCTTTTGGTGTGTTACAGACAGCCGCTGTCAAAGAAGCGTCGGCGCTTAGCTCACGGCCGTCAACCAGTAGATATCTCCACGGCCTGCAGCACGGCCGCCACAAAGATCAAGGGGCTGCAGGGATCTATCAGCAGAATACACGTGACCAATGTGCATTTCTCAAGCGCTGGATTCGCTGAGACCCTCACAGAAAGATTGAGCGATCTGCCTTGAAGTCCTCCGCAATGACTGCTAGCCAGGAAGATCAATAAACGCACGCCATGCCACCAACAGTATAGGGCAGCGTACATGGAGTAGGCTACCAGACCGCTACCAGACCTACCTCCCTCCAATTCCGGATAGAGCTCACCGTTCTCGTGGCACAGGCCTGGCGCAAGTTGAACGATGGACCCAGCAGGCACCAATTCGTCGATCTCGACATCCAAGTTCGGAGACTACGCGAAGGTCCACCTCGGCGACAACATACATTACTCCGTATCAAAGGGCAAGTAGCAGAACATATCGCGGCTTGAACGCGAGATCTGACGTCTATCATTGCCTCCAGGAAATGCTACTCCAAGCCATTTCGGATTCGACGACTTCCTTGCCACGTTGAATCCAATCCTGCCAGAAGATCAGCGGATTCTGACCAGGGACCGTTACTCTGGCGCGGGTCCAAATTCGTTCAGGAGGGTGCTTGACGATAATCCCGTCTTCGATTTTGAGACCTGGTATCAGGGTGGTCACCAAAGGTTGCTATGGATTCAGGACAAGACGAACCAGGGGCACAGTCTCCTGGTGTTCCGAATCATTTCGCACCAAGCACTGAACGTACACCTCGATCCTTACTACATTCCGAGCCGTCCTCGACTTGGCCACACACGCCCTTTGATTGTGTCTTACTTCTTCTGCAGTCAGTTCATGGGCACGGCGAAATGTGCAACAGAAGTACTTCGTGGCCTGATATATAATCTACTGAGAACCGACGAGAAGGCTTTGGTCCGGCCAACTGCAGATCCCAACACTCATGACGATGTGCACGAGTTCAGTCGCCTGTCCCGAGTACTACGCAAACGTTTGCAGAAAGCTACAGCCGAAGGCTATCGTGTCATTCTAGTTGTCGAAGGCATCGACCAGTGCGCCGATGATGCAAGTGAGGTGGGTGTACCACACTTGCTGAGCACACTGCGTGATGCCTGGAAGGAAGGCAACGAAAACGACGTGGACACCAACATCCAATGCATCATCTCCAGCCGGCCGTCACGCGACATCGAATTGGAACTACGCCTGCTCGACTTTAATTTCGAGGTGATCGACCTTGAATCTGGCTTCGTTGCGCAGGAACTTGGACTGGAGGACCTCATCGTTGCGATTCAGAGGGACGCAAACCAGCTCCAGGCGCCATACAACTCGCTCAAGGAGAGCTCCAGAGTGACTGAGTCGTCATCCTGGTTCGAGTACAGCAATGCTGGTCGGGATTGGCTACGCCGTGCCAATTACGAAGCATCTCCAGTGCGTACTCTGTGGTACCGCCGATCTGGCGGCAACTTCCAGCCACAGAAACTGCTTATTGCCTGCGTTGAAAGTCTGATGTCCAAGTACGACAACACAAACCCCCGCACGCTCTACTTCTCTTTCGCCTCCGGTATGGCACATGAATCCGGAACGCCAGGTGCCACGAGCCGCAATTGTCAGCCTTCAGCTATAGCGCTGCAAGCCTTGTTCTGTCAGCTTGCCGCGCGACGTTGCGGATCCACGGAATCATGGGTGGCGTTTCTGGTAGCCTTGCCAGAGACGCACAAAACGCTGCTCCGGAACATTCATGTGAAGAAACAGGATCTTTCGTCTTTTGGACGAGTTCCACCGTCCCACATGAAGCAGCTTGTGGCAGCAGTACTGGATACATTTGTTGAGCCATTGGTACTTATCTTCGACTTTCTCGAATTGACGGACGTGGAAGGCTGGGAAGATGTCGTTTCTGCACTCGAGAGAGTTTTGAAGCCTGGGACACGAATGCTCTTCTGTTGCGATGGCCAACTTTTGCGTGATTACACGGCCCGTGCGACTCCAGCGCGTGCCGAGGTAGTGGTCGTTGATGAACACACCGAGTATCTTGGTATGATGAGACTTCGCCTCTGCGGCACCCATGTCATTGCTAATGACGGTTACAGAATGCCTTCAAACTCTTGAAGTCAATCACATTAGTCTTCGACGCGAACAAGTTCCTGACGCTCTCGTTCAAACCAACCGATGGCTCTGGAGCCACGCCAGCTTCCAGCGATGGGAGGAAGAAGGAGGTCTGTTATGGATCTACGGTCGGCCTGGCTCCGGCAAATCGGTCCTAGCGAAGACAATCCTCAGAGAACTTGAGAACTCGAGCAACAGTACAACTCACCTAGAAAGACGGCTTATTTGCGATTGGTTCTATAATTCCAGCGGGGGAGATGTCGGCACGGCGCACAGCTTCATGTTGCGTTCTGTTCTTCGCAACATCTTGAGGCGCAGTGAGCACCTTTTCGATAAGGTGAAGCACCACTACCGGTCCCTATTCGACGCCAAAGGCACCAACGATGTGGCCTGGACCACTGCAGCCCTCTGCGATTTGCTGCTTGAGATTTCTGCTTCTCCTGCTGCACCGGACACACTCATCGTCGTAGATGGGCTGGACGAATCCGAAAACGGGGACAACCTCGAAGCAAAGCAGTATTTCGTTGGTTTTCTCTACAAATTCTCGCAATTGACACTCAGTCGCGTGCGATGGATCGTACTGAGCAGACCGGAGCCGGTTATTCGAGACGCATTCCGCGGAGCCAATCGGCGGATTTCCTGCGCGATCAACATGGATGAAGAGAATGAAGACGATATCAACACAATCATTGGAGCCGGCTTGGATGGTATCCGCGCTGCCTGGGAGCGGAGTGTTGGGTTGGTAGACGACAAAGAAACCTCTTCCTCTGTCGATGCCGTTCTACTTGGTATGGCGACCTACTTAAAAGAGCAAGCAAACGGTGTGATCCTATGGGTCTCGCTCGCGCTGAACCAGCTTAAACTCAGCGTCGAAAGTAAATATGGCTTCTCCCTCCACGATTTGGACAAAATTATGCGCGGCTTGCCCCTTGGACTTGACGACTTCTATTCAAAGATTATGTTGAACCTGAATGTTGTCTCGGACCCGGAAAGGCTCTCAACTACCAAGGCAATGCTGACGTGGATCATCGGCGCGCGGCGTTGGGCTCCGTTGCAGCTTCGACACCTTCGCGAAGTCATGGCTATGGCCAAGTTGGCTCAGGTAGACAAGCGGCCCGATATGGATATGCTCGAGAGCCACCGGCCTGTAGTTCGATCCCCAAGAGACTGGAGCGGGTTTCGAGGCATCATATACCAACACTGTGGACCGCTCGTCGAAATCCGATTGAGCAATGCCGACGACAAACCCAAGGTAGCCCCGTCATCCACGCTGGAGATGCTCCATGAGACTGCGAGGAGCTATCTTAAGGATGAGAGACGAAGCGGGGTGTTTTACATTGACACCGTTGCCGCAGAGCAAACTGTTCTTGTCGAGTCGTTCAAATACCTTGGATTTGCCATTCCTCCTCCAACGCTTCTGGATGCAGGTGATGCGCCACGGCCACTTCGGACCTCTTTATTGTCACAGACTCGGAGCATCATTTCGACAGACTTCTCGGAGAGTCGAGAGTGGCGTAATTTGTTATCGCGGCCACCTCGCCGGACAGAGGATGAACTGCGGGGACGCGCACGAAAAGACTATTTGGACAGCTGGCCGCTCGCCTCTTTGGCTTTCCAAGTTCTGCGTGGCAGTCATGCCACGGATGACTCAACGTTGATCACTCTGCTGCCTGACCAAGGCACTATAAGAGATTTTCGGGCTCTTTTCATCACTTCCTGGCTGGCGGATACCTATTACTCGATGGAGCGGCAGCTGGACTACTCAGTTGTCGAGCTATTCACCCGTCACTGCTGCGAAACTGGTCAGTCAACGACGCTGGCCAAAACCTTCGAGCTGATAGACGGATATGCTGCGCTTTACCGCTCCGATGCGGATGAGGCGGCACCCAAAAACAGCCGTTTCGAGTATTCGGTGCTGAAGGGAGCTGTTGCCGCTTTCCTCAACGTCGCTCTCGATCAACCTCGTTGCGGAAGGGCGGTCGGCTCTGCTCTCCTCAAGGAGTGCAGGATGTATTACAGCCTATTGGAAAACTCCAGCAGCGTCGGCATAAACACCGTACCCGCCGGGAGTCATGTCGAAGACCAAAGTGCTGGCCCGTCCGCCACTAATGAAGGTCGGGCGATGCTGGACAAGATCAGGTCCATCGTGGACACTGCATACTGCGAGCAATCGCCCCAACAGGATTTTTCGGACAGATGTCGTTGTTATCGCCAAGTTCACATCGTGACTCTTCCCGGCGGACGCAAGTCGGTCTTCGTCTGGCAGGTGTACAGTGCAATCGAGGACGTCCTGGGTTGGTTGCGGGAGAAGAACCACGATTCGCCTGGGGATTCAGATGTGCTATCCTCCATGAAGTCGACATTGCTGGATTGGTGGAACGACCCCGTTGCTCCCTTCTCCCAAGCCATACTCAGACACTGCGCATTAGAATTGGACACCAAGCTACAGGGTTCAGACAGGCCTGCGGCAATTCCTTCAATTGCTGCTGCAGATGGCAGGTAGCGATGCCTTCAATGTGTAGCCAGGTGGCTCGTTTTAATTGCTCGTGTAGGCCAGCGCCGCTGCCGCTGTGAGGCATCTTGGCCGGTGGTGTGTAAGTAGAAAACAGGTGATGTCTAAACAGCACGTCTGGTGAGGCTGCCACGAGCAGCAGGAAGAGGGGAATGACGTTTCCGAGTGAGATCGAATTTGTTTCGTTATAGTATATATATACATTCTCCCATTTCTGCGGCATCTGAGATTTGATCATGACCTATGTACTCAGCTATCCAGCAGCCAGCGCATCGATGCCAGTCGCTCCGTGGTGTGCGGTACCCTTTGCAACTTCTCAATCAGCCCACTGGCTGTCGCAGCAGGTCTTTCTGCGAGAACCTGCGCAATAAACGCTTCGAACTCTGAGGCAAATTTATCATTTGATGAATCACAAATGATGCGAAGCTCCTTTCCGGCCAAAGACGCCGCAATCCACAGCAGGGTCATCTTGACGCCAGGGTCACCATTGAACGCACCGCATCCCCACAGGCCGGTCCAAACGGTCGCGGGAGCACCCACCGCCCACGAAGAAAAGGCGGTGTAAGCCTTTTTGATCTCACGATCGATGTTCGAGGAAAGCAAATCAGCCAGGCCTTCTTGGTTGTCTCCCTCATCAATCTCCAGTGCATCCATGAACAGCATTCTGCCGCCGCGGGTGACCGTCGACTCCTCAAGCGGAGACCACGAAACATCACGCCTCTGACCGGAGATCCTCAACATCGGCGTCGCGCCTTGTATGACTAGAACCTGGTCGTCTGCCAAGGTGGGAGTCACAAGCACAGCTGGGCATGCCTCCGGGCAGTTCCCCATGTACAACTCTTCTTGCGTCGCAGACTGTCCAAAGCCGATGTCCTTGTTTGCCGACACCACAACAGCGCTCTCTATGCCTTGACACTGCAATTCCTGCTGTTCAGTGCTATATGCATTTACTCTGACAACCACTGCAGTGGAGAGCGCGCAATCCTGCCAGGTCCTGGACATCGGCCGTGCCAGCTGGTCATATGAGTGAAGAGCGTATCCAACCTCCTCGGCGGCATGATTGCCAGGGTCGCCAACTTGCTTGAAGAACCCGAAAATTGCATTCAAGTACATTTCCACAGCCTTGGGATGTCGCTGCGACGAGCCGTACCAGATTCCGAAGTCGACGAAGTCATTGCGCCAAGGCGGGGGCCGCAAGGTGCAGAGAAATTGGTGTGATACTAGGCACCCCGCCTGATCCCGTGAGAGCCCTAAAGCCATCCCGGGCTTCAGTATCGGTAGGCAATGTTCGGGGTAAAGCCTCGGCGTCATCAAAGCAAGACGCACGATCTTGGGCCATATGCTGCCGAAGAAGTCGCACTCTTTCTCCTGCACCGCAGCTTCCAGCGTTCCATAGTCACCAGCAGCCCCCGAGGAGCCACGAAGGCTATTTGAGATAGTATCCAGGACATCGATAAGCTGCGATGGCATTCTGACGGGTTGCCTGAGCACTTCCACCAACAGTGGCCAGAACGGCACGAGGCCATCGCCATCCTCCTGTCCATCTTGGAGGATGCTGAAGCGATCGAGGCACCGCTCCGAGGGAGCGCTCGGCAAAACAAAGACAGACATTATAAAGCGTGTGCTGCAGGGAATGCCCCGGTGGTTTTGTCTGTTGAGGAGGAACAGGTTGACGGCTGTGTTCCAGTGTGGCGAAATGCGCTCCGCGCGCACGGCTTCAAGGCCAAGTGCAACGATGAGTCATCCGGCAATCAACGTACACCGACGACATCGTGCACATTCTTGAGCATCAGTGTCCCGCGTGTTGTACATCTTGTTCCAAACCAATAAGAGGAGCATCATTATCATGCTTGCCATATTTGGAGCCAGCTGGATCACAGCCTCAGACGATCAAAAAGTTCAACTTCGGATCTTTGAGTGTCTGGACCCAGCCGCGCGTGCCCTTGTTCTGCCCGTCCAGGCTCCAAATCACCTGAAGAGTGTCCATGGCGGTGTACAAAAAGCCCCAGGGACAAGAGACGACCAACCGCCGGAGCCGATTCATCACCCACTCGCGTCTAGCGCGCCCGGTTGCCTCGGCTCCGACGATGAACGTTGGCCATGTTGTCGCCTTGAAGTTGGGGTCATCATCTGGTATGCTCGACAGATGCTTGAAAATGTCGCGACTCAAAGATTCGGCAACCTCGTCATGGCCTTTCATCTCGCTCAAGGATGGAATAGCCTGAAGAATGTATAGGCAGGCAGCCAACCGATGAGCTGAACCTGCGTGAATGCGGCTCTGGATAGGTGCATCTTGTAGGTAGGAGATGTTGCGAACATCATTTGCCCAAGCATTAATGTCGAATGCTTGCGCACGCTGTATTAGCGCCAGGCCGGCGGCGCGGATCTCATCATCAGAGTGCGCATCAGTGCTCGCATTAGACAGCTGGGACGCAGCATGCAGGATAGCGAGAATCTCTGGTGGGCAGCACAGGTAGCTGTTGGCAGCAGCCCTACCCAAGATTGACGGGATCTGGGACGGTTGAAAGAACGATCCAGTGTCGAAAGCCGCCGCGGGCATGAAAGCAGAGCCGAGAATGAAGTAGCTTGAAGATTGTCAGTATGTTACCGATACAGCTCACATGGACACTTACACAAAGCAGTCTGAAAGCATGTAATCTCTCAGAGCCTCGTTGCCTGGGAGCGCAGGCTGTAGCAAAGACATGATCCTACCAGCCCCCTCCAGGTGGGCCTTCCATCCATGCTTTCCAGACTCGATCAACTCGACATTGATGAAGAAGAGGGCAGCGGCGAGGATGACATCGCCACCCGTAGAATCGACATCGCGCACGGCATCGCGCATGAGGCTGAGCGCCTTGTGCTTGGCAACGAGGGCATCGCGATATGCCCGCGCGGAAGCCTCCTCTGCCTCTGAGGTACCGAGCAGCTGATTTGCATCATTAGAGTAGACGTGTGAAGCCCTAACCAGGTTGGACATGTGGGCTGCCGACGCGGCAACAATGATGTGCTGAAGCAGGGGATGCGCCCGCGTGAGCGGCAGCAAGGTGCGGAAAGGGTTGCGATCGGGATGGTCCTGAGAGACCAGATCCTTGCAGAGTCTTTGCGTGACTGTCTCCAGGTCAGTGCTACAGTCCCAGCATGATATCCCGAGACGCACGGATTTGAGAGGGCATGTAAACTTACAGTATGACAGGTAGTACCTGTTTGAAGGTTCCAGATCTTGGAATAGCGGGTCTACAAGCACCCAAGGGCTGCTTACACTTGAGTTATCGGTCGAGCGAGGACGGGTAATGAGCTGTGCATCTTCGGGAGCCAGGTCCGCGGTGCTTGCGACGGTGCCATGCTGGTCGGCCAGCGGTGGTTCATCCCGCGGCCGCGGATAGAATGGCGACTCTCTACCAGACCCATGCAATGACGATGGTGAATGTGAAGGTGTCGATGCTGGAGGAGTCAACCTCGAGTGGGCGTTGGGCCGTGTTGAGTCGTCAACGGGCGCGCTGGACGTGCGGCCGGCCAGCTTGCCGCGGCTGGCCACAGCGCCGGTCCAGCGGAAAAGCTTCCCGTAGCCAAGACATTCCTTCCCGGCGGCGATACACTTGTTGCAGTGCGGATAAGAGCGGTCGCAGCGGAGGCGCTGACGGCGGCAGTTGTGGCAGGCCTTGGTGGGCGCCTCGATGGTGGTCATGGTCAGCTCAGCGCAAGCACCGCCCGGGATTGCTGGAAGCGGCACAAGACGGGATTGGCGGGGCGGGAGGTCAGGGCATGCGCAAGGTCCTTGTCGCCGGAGCCCGTTGGCTCGTCAGAAGCGCAGCGCGCATGGCAGGTCGCAGCGAGGCACGAGCACGGGTCTGGGGTGGATGAGGAGGAGGAGGACAAGGCGTGCCACCGCGTCAAGGCCAGGTACTTTTACTTGGCTTTGGGATGACTCTGCACCGTTCCTGCCTTTTCCATCTCCATCGCGGGCACCCGCTTTACCGCCGCCCGTCGCTCCTTCCCGCAATTCGCCCCCGAGGCCCTTGCTGGCAGGTGGCGCTAGACCCAACAAGGAAGCCAAGACTCAACCTTTGTGGCACAAGCCGAGAGCCCCGAGGCAGGTACGTACCGGAGCTCCCGCGTTCACAGTTTGTCTCATCTGCGAGGTCCAGCAGCTTTGAACTCAAAACCCACGTTGTTCTGTCTCAGCTGCGCGGCTGACCCTCATGAGCTCAGGGGAATATAAAGGGAATTTGAAATCCCGTATGATTTTAGGTCGTCTGCCTCGTCCTCTCAAACCCTCGAGACCTTACGGTCCGACGGTACTGCTTCCTGTCTCGTGGTTCGTCGACCAATCCCGGTCATTACAAGCCGACAGGGCATGCAAGGCCATCCGGAGAAGAAGCGGCCTGCTTCCGTGCAATATGTACGGCATCATAATTGAGTGCGCGTGACGCAGCTCTCTCGGGACGGTACTTGAAATTCACTCCACAAATCGAATACAATAAATCACATCAAACAAGGTTGGCGAGGGTGCATTGGTACAGTGCCACATTGAATTACCCCGGATGTGCCTTCACTGCGAAAGCTGCGTAGCGGTGACAGTCATTGAACCAGGCTTGTCGTAGTCACGCCAAGGGGAAAACACGTATCGTTGCTTCATACCAAGTTCTTCGCGAGAACCCACTGTCGGGGAATCATGTCGTTCGCCCTAGTTCAGAGAAGTAGAAGCATTCGCTCAACTTGGACTTGGGCTGATATCGCCGCTCCCGACTTCGAGCTTCGGGACGACGGTCCAGATCCACTGCTGTCTGTAGATGCCGCATCTCTCGCTCCATGTTGAGCGCAGCGCAATTCTCAGCCTGCCCTGCGGCGAAAGGTTCGTCGCGAGTCCTGAAAGTATGGTCCACCACCAATAACCAGGCCTGTCCGTTCCGTCCTTCTCAGCGGCATTTTGTATTACTTGCAAAGGAAAGGGGCCCATCAAAGGTCCCTGCCAGTCCTGCCCTGATTTCGATCATGCAAGAGGCGTGGCTGAGACCAACGACCGAGTGCGTAGCCTGCAGTCTGGCGTTGCTGCTACCGTCTGGTCTCTTGTCCTGGACACGTAGCATTGCTGAAGCCTCTATCCAGTACCGCACATTGTGAAGCTTTGGTTTCCTCGTCTCATTCTAAGACACTGGGCCCGTGCGACGGACGCCGCGGATACGCTTGGTTGAACAGGGACAGTTGGCACCAGGCTAGGGCAATGACACGCCCTCATTACGATAGTCTTTCTACCCCAGACGCCCAGTCGGTCGCCAGGGAACGGTCTGCGTCAAAGCGCCGGGCTGTTTGCTTGTTGGCATATCTTCGAGGTCACACCTTGTAATTGTTTCAGCTTCGGCACCCACGATGATCATACCGCTGGGCTGGACTGAGATCCGGCCACATTAAAACAGTCGCGAGCTTTGCCGTCCATGTTCGCGATCGATGAGCCCCATCCTTTTCCTCCAAACATTGCACGAAATAGCAAACAACAGTCAAATTGCCTAAAATTCATGCGGGGACAAAGAGAGGAGCGCCATTCCTTGCGATCAAGGCAAACCCACAGAGGCGAGATAGCTCCAATGGCTCGAACACGCCAGACCGTGAGGCCACCCCTCAAGCGCTCCACCCCTCCTCCTTCACCGATCTTGGCCCCCTTCTGCACTCCGGGAGCCGTCCGCCAAACGCACTCGATAGTATGGCGCGGCTCTCTTCCACCAACCGAGGGCTGCCATTACCCATGTGACATCTCATATCTGTCATCGAAAAAAATCGCCCCTTTGCCATGCCACCTTTGGGATGGAGTGCGCCGCCACTAAAACACTTTCTCCGGGCTCCGCCACAGGATCAGAAAACAATTTCGTAAACTTCGTATCAAAACGATCACCAGTGCACAGTGAGAAAGTGGCTCGCCTCGGACAGAAACGTTTGGACGTGTCTTGTTTGGATTACAAACACACAGCCCCTCCGGATGGCTTGTTCTTGTCTGGTTCTGGCGCAACCACTATTGTCTCCAAACGACATCGCTCGCAGGGGCCCAGGGGGTGCTGCAACCCTTCGCTTTGTGGGGGAATGGCACTGGGCCCCATGACACGAACGCAACGTCACAAACCAACCAAGATCGGAATGTGATCTCATGTGTCCGTCAGGCTGCGGAAGATGGTATGGACAGCTGCCTATCTCGAATGCCACTCTTTCGTATAATGTTAGCCTCCGTTACGGCGATGCAATCCCGAAACAAGAACTTTTGAACTCGGTCGACCGTGAATGCGGTAGTACAGAGAGGGGGTGTTGAAAGGGATGGCACAAGACGGCCGAGTTCGTCACTGTTGTCGAGTTCAGGGGGTCTCAGACAGTGCCGCGTGTTGGATGGATTCATTATGACCGCCGACGACTTCGACGATTGCGACGGCCTCTGACTGCCGTTCGCACACACGTGTTGACCGGTTGCCGTAAGTGTTGGACTGGACGTCAGCAGCCATACTTGGACGCGGACAATGGCAGGAGTGGCGCCGCCTCAAATGTGCAGCAGGTTCATCACATCTGTTGTTGCCAGGGTGCGGTGCGGGCTGGGACTGGACAGCATGCTGGGCGGGCAACACGCTTCTCGAGCCCTGGCTTCTCTCGCGGGCCTAATTGCACACCCTGGCTGTCCAACTCGGGGAGAGTGGTCCATCCAAGCAGCTAAGCTTCAAGGCGCAACAACGCTCCTCCAGTGTCAATCGTGCCCTGGAGCGTCTCCTGCACACTACACAGCGGAGGGGGTATGACTGGCGTCGTCACAACTTGGCACCTCGACTAGGTGCCGCATCTGCGGAGCGGGAGCAAAGAAGGGCGCGTCCCAGCGGAGCGACAGCGTTGTTGGATTGTTGTGCACGCTTCTTGTCAAGATGGCGGTGATCGGCAACGCTTGTTGGACGAGCACTTTCTCCAGCGTTATTCAGGTTGGACTATCGCAGCCAACATATCACGAACCTACTTGCCACAAAATGTACACCAGAGTCGGCCTTCGAAATGGGGATGGGCCAACGGAAAGGCGTGCCTCGTCCCTCCGACAGGTCCGCCAGAGGGGCGGAGGAGGCTTGCTTCGGGGCCATCCCACTCCGCCCCTCTCCCAAGCTAGTAGGCGCCAGTCTGGACTCGGGACTGGTACCGAGGGCCATGAAAGCGTCGCCGAAGCACATGATCGCAGTGGCTGGGAATCGCACGGATTAAGGAAGACAGCTGGTAATGTTGCGGAAGCCAAGGGGCCACAGGACGTGTCTGCCAGCGTCGCTGTGTCAAAGGTGAGTGGCTGCTACTTCCGTTCCCCCCAGAATGGGCACAGTTCTGAGCTTGTGCATGGGAATGGTATGGCGAAAGAAACTCGAGGGTTTGGAAACGCCGAAGACAGATGCTGTCAAGACAGTGGTTCCGCCGACGAGCATGCCAGATACCCGGCGGATCACCGACTTCCAATTGGTTCATCACCGCGACCACGCATGCAATGAGAATTTAAAAAATAATCACGGCGCCAGTGACGGCCGCAGGGGCGTAGACCGAACCATGGTACGGTATATCAGCGTAAATATATGCCTGGGTGGTTGCGGTTGCAGACAGCAAGGGGAGCCAAGACAAGCAGGGAGAAGCTCAGAAGGCCCTTTGCTGAGCCCTGTCGAGATCACTTCTTTAATTTAGGAAGCTGAATGCAGAATCGCGATGGCGTGGTGCAGGCCAAGTCTGCGCGGCAGTTCTGAGAAGGCGGCTGGTTGCAAAAGGTAGGGTACCAGCACTATGATCACCATGCGTACATATGTCCACATCTGCAAGGTCGATCGCCTGGTCACATCAGCAGCGAATGAGGTACACTATCTTTGGTTTGGTTGCACGCATTCGACGTCGAAACGCAGCCAAAAGTCCCACCTGTTGGTTCCTTGCCCTGCCGGGGCTGCAGGGAGCCATGCATCCATGCCATGATGAGGGCGTGGCCAACGTCCCAATCTCCATTTGGCAAGTTTATTGCACCGGGCCAACTTTGGAGAACCAGGTTTGCATCAACGTCAGCCTGCCGTATCCTTGGTTGCTGAGCGGGTCCCAAGTGCAAGTGCGAAAGAATGCACACGTCGATGGACCAGCTGGCGCAGGGGTCTAATTCCCTCTCGGCCGGGTGGTCGCGGAGGCGGGGCGGGTCGGATGTTAGCAGCTGCTCGCACTTTCATCCCGGCACAAACAAACCACCCCACCGCCGGCCAAACCGGCATTATCCGCAGCGTGCAGATGGCTCAACGGGGTTGGGAATGCGGCAATGAAGGACCGCCGCTCGGTTTGCACTGCTTGCTATCCTTGCGATACGGTTGGTTAATGTTGCTCGACGGACATGCGTTTGCTTGGATATGTATTAGCAGGGAGACGGAACATAGGGAGTTAAGGCCACTGCGAGGGGAGTTTGAACGAAATCACCGGTGGCTGACAACATCGGAGCTATTGGCGGAGCCTTACAGGGCTTGGACAGATGCAACACTCCAAGGCATTCCAGAGTGGTGCGTCTCGGCGGCGCAGGCTGGCAGAAGCCACCTTGTGCCTCGCAAGCTAATAATATAAGACGGGCGACAGACTGACCCCCAACGGCTCCGTTGAGCATGCTGGCGGAGCACAGAGCCGCTCCACCGGTCGCGTGGGCGTGCAGGGGACATCCTGGCCTGGATC